AGTATAAAAATGAAAAAAAATGATGATGATGATGATTGGGCCTAATCAAGAAACAAAACCAAAAACAAAATTATTCATTTTATGACTATTATTTCTGATATCATTACACTTCCGATTGATATCAACATTACTGCAAGAAAATGATGCTAAAACACTAAATATTACCATAAATAATACTAATTCATCGTTACTACAACGATTTTAAATCAATAAATGTGTTATAAATATGTGAAGACGAAGCTAAGGTTGTTTACATTTTATTGATTTAAAATATTTGTTATTTCTTGAGTTCCGTATTTTTATTATTTATCAACGATACAATAAATGGAGTGTATTATGTGTATACAAGTGTAACGAGAAATATCAACATGAAAAATATCATCTTGACAAACCGAATAAATGATTAGACCATTTTGTTTACCTAACGCATCGGGTTCTCTTGACAAATTTAAACAAAACTGTCCCTTGGAAGGGACAGTTGAAGTTACTAATTAGTATTCGGAAAACATATCTGTTTCCTAGTTGAGTCTCAAACAATTGCTACGACTATATGCCAAAAATGTTCAGTCCCAGTTCTATAATAAACTATACAGTCAAGCGAGTGGCGTGGCTAATGACGTCCTCTTCGTGCTAGTCCATCCTTATATTTTCATAGCAAATCTGAAGAGAGCTATATTACTTTATTCCATCAAAGAGACCGAATTTTATCCAAGGTACATAATGGTGCTTTCATTTATCTGTAAAGGTATATATCATGCAAATAAGTCATTTGAAATTTTTAATAAATCCTGTGTCAGGTTTGTATTTGTAAATGAAATTAATGATACGTATTATTTCCTAGACTTAAGATTTGCTAGAAAAAATAATGGGGTTTTCCATTGGTGTATATATTTTAGAAGGAAATTCGCAGCAAAAAATATCTATAATTAAATAGCTTTTGTCTGATAAACTAATAGGTATGGTTTAGCGAAACCTCTGTATAGTAAGACTAAGGAGTTATATTCTGTAGAACTTGAAGCAGTATATGCAATTGTGGAAAAGTATTTTCGAGTAAAAATTGTGTAAGGAAACATTTATGGTGAAATGTAATAATAAATGCAACACTGGGACGAATGGTAATAAGCCTGGAAAGAAACATGTCATCTGACTGAGGTTTAAATTAGCCAGTCTGAAGGAAGCTTTAACTAGTAGATTTACCAGCGAGAAACTCAATCCAACACATATAATGCGATGCTCAATAAAGCGAATGTAACAGATAAATTTCCTACACATATCACCTGCAATCATATATGCTAATTTGTATTTACATGCAAAACCAGATATACTGCAAGGACAGAAAGACATGTATCAGTGCGCTTTATTAACCTTATACCAAAAACTTAATTATCAGAGTATAAGGTAAGCCTCATAATTCCATAGTGCGCAATCTACGGAACACCAGACATTAAAAGAGTATGCAGTATACACTTAAAATAAAAAAATAACTACTTGTTAAGGTTGTTACAATCAAGAGATAAAACCTGGACTCTGTATTCAAAAAGAATCACTGTTTAACCTTTAACTGTATTGGTAGCAGAAAGTAATAGTGTGTATAATTTTTTCTATTCATCATTTACAATTCAGTGAGTTTAATCCACAATTCGTCTTCTTTACATAAATCCTTAATAATTTTTTCGTTTTATTACGTAATAAAATCATATGCCCTAGTAACCTGATTACCACTTCTATCATTTATGACAACTTAATTAGTCATAACCCTGCTGCGACATCTACCTTTCAAACAATCTGATTATAAGTAATAAACAACCCATTTATTTAAATTCTAGGTAATATTATTACTTTCATCTGTTTTGCTTGGTATGTATAAGTCGGATTTATGAATAGTTTTAAAATTTTCGATTGTTTCATTGCTTCTTAGTAGACTCCAAGTAATCATATTATAACCTTTTCATATATGCATAATGTGTATCTTCCGAGACCATAACTATATGATTGTATTAAACTGTATGAGCCATGTTAGAATACAAATCATTCTACATTTAAACTACTGTCGTTCGTTATTGAAATTATGATAGATTTTATAAAGATGGTTAATCACTAAATTGGATTTTTTCGATAAGGCTACATTTAACTAATGCATCTGGGAAAGCAAATCTTTTTGATAACTGAACGTTAGTACCAAAGTGATTTAGTTCAAAAAGTGAATTAAATAGGATTCTGTAACACAATTTAGAACTAAGATTGCAATTACTGCAAATGAAGCAATGTGATTACGAAAGTTAGAATCATTCATTGATTTAAATACTTCCGATAATTAAAGTAGCCCATTGTGTCATTAAACAAGAATAAAGAGAATTCATCGAAAATTTCCTCTCCGATAGAATCATTTAATTAAGCTGCACACTCGTATACGTAGTTAGTCGATAAATGTATAAGTCTATAAGAGAATAAAAAGAAGTTACATCGTCATATTTGAAATCTAGAATCATTTGATGATGTAATTTCTTTTTATTCTCTTATAGACTTATACATTTATCGAATAACTACAAATACGAATGTACAGCTTGAGTAAATGATTTAGTTGAAAAGAAAAATTTTCTTTGATGAATTTCTTTTATTTTTACTAAATACATCTACTGAAACAACTTTAAAAAGGCATTTAATAAGTTTAAACAGGTATTATAGTGATTAACATAATGACTAATTTAATAAACATAATTGTCTCATGTTTTACTTTATCGAAGTTACCAATTTTGATTTATACCCTGAAGAAATTCAGACATGTCTACTGGGAGAAACTTTGGAATTATTTAAATTTCAATCAGATATTAACTCAAATATAATTTTCATTTGTAACAAATGGATCGATCAACCCAACACATTATTTTCCATTATAAACAGTTTATGATAGATAAAGATTACTTACCTTTTCCATAACACAGTATTTTGACTAATCACTTTCGAAAAGCTCTCGAACTATTATAAAATTTCCTTCCCCATTCCGTCTAACAATTAAACACCAATTTAATTATTACATAATACATGACATCTTTCAAATTTATAAACACCTATCCCTTTTATTGCTTTCAAGTAACGTGACGTTTGAAATTACTGTGAAATTATTTAGAACAATATTGATGTTACGTTCTCCCGACTTTTTAAATATCAGCAATGGTTACAATAGAAACCATTAATATTTAGCGTTAATGCTTTCCAATAGTATTAACTGTATAAAGCACTTGTTTGTCTATTTAGAATTTAATTAAACATTTAGTATCTGTGAGAATTCGTCACACTATCCAGCTATACTGACTGACTTTAGTGGAGTGGTGTTTGAATATTTGACTTCGTTGATTAAAAGTTGAATATTTAAACGACTAAGCTGACTTTCTATTAAGTGAACGAAGAAAGAAACTAATAAACGTTTACTATCTAAATTATCTAAAAATTCTTGTCATTCGTATCTTGGAGACTTAATTTGATCTTAAACTACATAAACTAATCACCAATATTTTTAGGTATACATTGCCTTACATAGCTTTGAGAAATAACATTAGAATTCGATCAACTTATTTGTAAGCAAAAAAACAAAACTAAATGAAGATTTGATTAATAAGGGCCTTCTCTATAACTGATCTGTATATATTTCTAAATGGATTTAAAATCTAAGATTATTTCCCAAGATTAATTTATTAAATATCAAACAATTATTACTTCGTTATTTCATGATGTTGCACAGATAGTTCAGTTTGAAGTTACAAACCACGGACTGACTGGTTAGACAACCATTGAAGACAAGGAAGCATTGAGTAGCTATTTTGTTTAAATAGAATAAGAATCCCAATGAGTCTCTAACAAAAATTAGTTGGTGATGTAAAACACTAAGTTGGATGCATGTTTGTTGTTAACTCAGTATGTAATGAAGAAATAATTTAATATAAACAAACTGTAAAATAAAACCATTGGAAACTCTACAATATTGTTTTTATTTTGTAAGATAAAATATTGTCATGAATAGGTTAGACAACTTAATTTCAAGACAGGAAGTATTACAAAAAATGTACAATCGGTTACTTTTTATGTTAAGTCATAATATAGTTAGTGTATGTCTGACTTGTCAGGAAAACTATAATGCACTCAGTCTTGTTTTGTTCTTCCAACTTTATTCCCAAAAAAAATATACAGCACAACATAATCATAATGCGCATTCAACTGGACAATATCACTAAATAAAAGTTTTATTTTCTTTTTTGATGGAAGCTACGTAACAGAGCAAATTTCATTTTTAAAAAAGACAACAAACAGATAATGCAGATGTTTCACAGAAAAACAAAATAGAACACATAAATAATGTAGAAAAATAAATAATGCACTGAATACTACTACTTCTACTAGATGTTGCTTTAAAAGTACGGCTGATATAATCAATAAAACGTAGTTGCTTAGATACACAAAGGTTGGTTAACAAGTAACGTTGGTTTTTAGTATAAAAAAATACAGAAGTCAAAATACAAGTTATGAAAGACATGGTGAAATGAAAAAAATAATAAATGAAGGCATGGCAAATAACATTCTCTTCGATTAACACACACAGGCGCTGACACAAACAAATGAAGTAAATCGTTCAACTTAACACATACAAGCACCGATTATGAAAGAATTGGTTTAAACAGCAAAAACAATGAAGCTGTTCAATATAAAAAGAAAAAATATACTTATTTTTATTCGAATTTGTAAATGTAATTGAAGTGTAGAATTAATGATGGATGACAGTGATAAAGTTGTGTACATAAAAGAGAACAAGATGTGTAAATTGTAAAATTGCAAAAAAATATTATAATTTGATAACAACGTCATCATTATTACATTTCATCGTAATTACATAGTTTGAGAAAAGAATTATTATTCCAAGCTAGTCAAAGAGATATCACTGATATTCAACTGAGATAATTTAAGAACTATTCCAACATCATTATATATCTGTCGAAATTATATCGATTTTAATTAAGGTTAGATTCCAGTGATTTCGACACAGATTCGCCTGATGAGTGACTATCTACACCGGCAGTTAAATCATGACCAACATTAACGATGTTTGAATCAGGACCATATGCAATTGTATAACCAAATAGCCTGCTAAACCTGTGTATATCACAGAAAAAAAAACACATAGAGAGAGTAAGTAAACAAATGACAAGACAGTATGTTATATCAGTTTACAACTCTGTTAATAATATAATAATATAATATATGCTGTGCTTATGAGGCATGGCAACTTGGACCGATGCATATATGTGCCTGGTCCTCCGTTGTAGCTGACTGACTGTTTTAAAAGAAAAAGAAATTCCAACTATGACCACACTATTAGTTCTTGACTACATATATATATATTATCAGTATAGGGTCGGGAAGGTTGTTCAGTATCATTGAAATCATAAGCCGATCAATGGTGGTCTAACATTAATACTTTCATGATACACATAATGATGTCAGCATTAACCTTATATATGAGGAAAGTGAACTTCCATGGTTCCCTTTCCGTTACATTCAAAGCATGTAATCATTATTATCATTAAAGTAATACTAAAGCCCTGATGACAATGAGTAGTCTCGGTACATGAACTTATATTAAGCAATCCAAAGCAAAAAATGAGTATTTACCTTTCTTTTTATATTATCAAGATCCACGGGAACTAATGATCACTGTAAAATCTGAACCCTATGCTAATTACGAGCAGTATGTGAATAATAAAAGTTTTCGATTGAATAAATCGGTCAGTTTTCACAACGACTTCACTCATTATTAATATGTGTCTAAATATGTGCGTATTATTTTAGAGCTTTTATATACAAAAGCTATTTGACAATAGAATGGTCCTAATGTAGAAAATTAGTAAGTGTTAAAGTTATCCCATTCCTTTGAAATATTCTGTTATATAACATACTAAAGATTTACATGTCAAGTAAGCGTTAAAAGTAGTAGAAATCGAATCAATGCTCCAGAAAATTAATAACTGTTGGAAAAATAGTTCAACCTTAAGCGATCAAGTGAATCTTTAGTGGACTTATATCTGACTCCAGGTAGATCGTTTGCTGCTTGTTATCGAAATATTCATATAGCTAATCCTTGTACATGATCATCGACTTAAATCATGTTCGTGAATAGCTGGATTAAATAAACCAAATACGAGAATGGATTCTTGAATGAGTATATTTTGTACACTCACTGATTTGAACAGACAATCAGAAACGGAGCGAAGCGAGATGACGCACAGTGGAGAAGGCGAGTGAGCTAACTTGATCTAATCAAGAGTGAATCGATATTTATAGTCACACAAACATAAGTTACAAGAAATGTGATGAGAAAGAAATGCATACACATACGCTCACATAAAAAAAATTAAAGGTTGATAAGCGAATAATTAACAAGGTCAAAATGTGACTCAAGAAGAATGAATAAACTGGTCTATCCGAAAGCTAGAATAAGTTATATGGGTTTGCATAGCACTACAAATGTACACTTTGGAAAATCCACTACATAATTCTTATCACAATTCTTATAATAATACATCATATGACCACATGAACATTTATGCGGTATATTATTATGATCAATGAAAACATAAAACCTAATTTCATACTAAGAGTTAACAGTTAAGTAGTAGTTTTTAAACTGCTAAGAAAGCATTTGCAGGTACTTTCAAGTGACGAGTCCCACATAGGACGAAACGCACGTTCTGGATTCCACTGCTAGCCACTATCCATTTCTACTTAAAATACTTTGCAAAACGTCACATACAAAAGTATTAACATGGAAATTCTAGTGGGAAATTTCATCTTTGTAATCTAGCCAACGTATACTATTAATAAAATATAATGATGACTAAGTACATGACAAGTGAGTGAAAATGTTTTAATCAAGAAGTATAGTGATACATTATCTTGAAGGTCTTAAAAGCCGTGCTAAGTTGGTAGGTGACATAATCCCAGTGTCAGACATAAAAATAAATCCAGAATTTCGATAACGTATATAAAAGTAGCCCAGTCTATGTTGGTTGATGTGAAATATGGCTTATCCATGTGAGGGACATTTGTAGGTGATAAGTATTTTTATCACACATTCTTTCAGAACACTTGCTTACGTGTACTGTAACCACTGAAGGAGAAATCCTGGAGTTTAGCGCAAAGTATGTGATAGAGATGACAAATCGGTAGACGAGGCAGCTGACCCCCACTAAACGATGCTTGAGACATCCCCACTTACCACTCACACAGCCTTGCACCCCATGAGGAGAATTAGTTCCCTCAAGATCACAAGTACACCTTGATGATTAGTGCTAATTAGTACAGAACATAGCTCAATAGTTTCCTGTTGATTACCTCCAACCATCTAACATAAAAAAATATAGTGCATGACGTCTTGAGTTCTGTAGTGATTATCAGTTGCTATGTATCATCAGATCAAACAAAGCATTTGAAATAAAAACAAAACACCAGAACAAACTCATTTTTAACAAAAGATACAACGATCAACTGTTTTAAACAATCACTAACTGTAATTAATCCCAAATTAATATTTGCCTTCTACATTGTAGAAAGACATCAAAAGAGTGAATAACACATGGAAAGGAATGTCCAGAACAGAGTTCGATGGGCCGTCTATCAGTCAGTCAGTCAGTCAGTAACAAAGTAGAACTTCGTACGTACGTACATCAGTTCGAGTTGCCACACCACATTAGCACAGAGATGCAGTTGTCGATTCAAATCCCGTAGTGGTAGAGGTAGCAAGAGTATAAGCAGTAATCGGGAAGATTAGGGTTTAGAGATGTTATTTAAAGATGGATCAGGGCCGTCTATCCTGATCCATCAGGGGTAACAGGCGTAGTTAAGTAAGTAAGTTGTACAATATTTATTTACAAACAAATAACTGAAAATGATAATTGAAATTAAATCAATAAACAACTTCAAAACAGTTATATAGGAATCGATTCTATTGAAAATTCCAAAGTAATTTTCACAATATACATGTGATAGGATTATTGTTTTCATGTTCACTTAAGTAATATTAATGGCATTTTGTCACAAGAATAATAATAATAACCAAACAAATCATGAGAATCAATGGGGAATCGTACGCATAAACATTTCTCATATCACGTTTTGGACCATCATTATTTTTTCATGTACATATGACTATGAGTAGTGGTAATAATAGTAATAATAATAATATTATCACTATTATTATTATTATTATTATTATTATTATTATTAATGGTCAACATTTTATCGTTTCCTGAAAATATTTTTAGTTCCAAATACAAAGACAATTATTGAAGTAGTTATTAAAACGAAAAAAATCGGCTTATTCATAAACATGATTTTTTGTGAAAGAAAGAAAATACTATGAGAAACTAATAACCAATCAGTTTGCATGGAATTTACTTCAAATGATCTGGTGTTGAAGCATTTATCAATTCGCTATCAGACTGTAAAACCATAAAAATTATTCAGATAAATAACAGATTTTTAATCTCCGGTAGATTGTACAAAATGAAAATCTTATCTAACATAATATTAATAACTAGTAAGTATTAGGGGATAACTTGTCATTTATTATGTTTACGATAAAATATCATAAGGTTAGTTTCCAGCTACTCGAAAGCTTTCGTGAACAAACTGAATGTAATTAAGAGTGAGTAATGATGAATAGATTTAGTTTATATTCCGATATTTGTGATTAGGTTATTAGAACAACTGACGTAGGTTAACTACAACAAACAACAATAAGCTATTGAATGAATAATCTTTACCACTTGACGAAGAGTGATAAACACTAGCAAATCGAAGTGTATTTTTTAACTGACAATTACATTAATAATGTTACCTACTAAAAATTGTTCAGTCCAAGTTATTAAATCTAACTGTTTAGAAGATCACTGAATTACTGTTCACGTCTACCTAAAACTGATTAAATTTGTGAGACCATTATTTATAGACGACCACTGAATGAATCCTAAGTGACCTTGAAAAGATTCAGCCAATCAGAAAACAGTCTGTATGGAGTAAGAACATATCACACAAAACCAAACAATTGGAGTGGATACACTTCTTTAACATGGTTTAAAAACTTTTCAAGATTAGAAAGAGGCTTTGCAGTTTTGAAGTAGTAATGCATACGATACAGGAACTCATCCATGTGACTTCATAATAATCGACCTCTGGAGCCATGATAAGGTCGCGAAAATTTTTCTAGCCTTGATCATATTGCTTCTGTATTATTGTTGTGTAGTGCCATGGAGGGGTCTATATAATTTCGCTTGTGAGCGACGATACGATGCACGTACCCGATTCCAGATTGGAATTGATATGCTTGCCAATCATCCGTGTATATAGCGGTACCCAGTTGCACATACTTTCGTATAGTCGGTAATATTGTTGTAGCCTGTCGGTTTCTCACGCGCTGGAAGTGTCGCTTTTGAGATGACCTATCATATATTCGAAGGACCTGCTAAGTATACTTAAGGTAAAGCTACTTACCTAGTATTCTTTAACATTTCTTCCTCTAATGAATTTGCGTTTTCTAACGACTGTTTCATCGATTTCTACGATTCTCCCAATTCCTCCAAAAGAATGGTTGAAGCTTGTCATTTTCATCGCACATGTATCTCGACAGTACTCATACCACTGAACTGTCGAAGCTTCAGTAAAATCTACAAAGTTTGCAGCCAGTGTTACTTTACTGGTGCTTTAATTATCCAGTTTATAACAATTATCATAACCTGTATTAGCGCCAATTGGGATCGAGTAAAAAAATTCCCCGTCCTAGTAGACTTTCTCCTTCAACATATATTACATCAAAATACAACATCGTCGCAATAGTCTGTATAATGTCCAGCAGTCATTTGAGCACCGCGATCACAAATAAAAGAACTTTTCGGTAATCCCATCTGTTGTAGCCGCTCAACTTTGACATCCTCTTTGGAATGTACGTTAATTGACCGTACGTGAGCATTGGGTATTGAAATAGGCGCCGTGATCTTGAAATCACTCATGCACTTCTGATTGTCTCGTCCATAAATTATAGTCTTGCCACTGAATTTAAAGTTTTGTAAATTAGTCATTATTAAGATGTCCTACGACACCAATAAACGAGAGACCTTACTGATCTCGAGCATATATAAACGATTTGAAAATCCAGTTATTACATCAATTTCTTACCACACCATGTGTATAGTAACTTACATGTTTCTTAATCCAACAGATTTCCTCCGTCCATTACTTGAGGAATTCATATACTGAACTGATAAATTGTAAGAACCTTGTGACCAAGAGTGGTTAGAATCATTTAACTGATATGGACTAAGACATTGAGCTTCTGATGGCAAAACAGAAGCTAAAGGAACAGCTTGATCAAAAGTTGAGAATAATCCAGTTAAACCCGACTGGACGGTTGAAAAGAATGACCTTGGTACCCAACGCTCAAAACCATCACCCGTCGAAACTTGTAAACGAGATTTCTGATCTACTCGTAATCTATCCATTAAGCGCATTGCATCTTGTAGTTCCAAGAATTTCTCTTTATAACTGTTACGTTCTGCGATAACACGAGCCATTTCTCGTTTAGTGAAGAAAGCTTCACCGAATTTCGGTACCTAATTGTTTGCCCATGAAAAGGTATCAAAAGTATACAAAAACAAGAATAAAAACACTTTAAATAAATTCTAAAAAACACTGACCATAACAACTGACTTTCAGATTGTATTGAAAATTTAAAGCCATTTGGTCGTTGAATATTGAAGTCGTCAATAACTATAATTACTAATGCTTTGGAGCAAGAAGTTTAAACGTTTAGCTCTAAAAGACAAAATAATACTAACGATAGATAATCTGCATTGTTGTAACTACAAGCACTGATATTCATTTAATGCTTACTTTATAGCTCCTAAAGGTGTATGGTAATATGTTGACAAGATATATATATATATATATATATATATATATATATATATATATGTAAATAAATGTGATTCTAGGATGATAAGAATTCTTACTAAATAAGAACATACTTTATTAAGGGTACTCTGTAAATCGTATCCATCTTCAGTTTTATTCATATCATTCAATGGTGAAACATCATTCAAATTATCTACAGATTTATTACGATACTTTGATGATGTGTGACATGTACTTTCTGCATTTAATGTCCAACAGGATTTCGACTGTTGTATTGAAGTAAGAAGTAATCTAGATGAACGTTGATCAGCCTCGTTGACGTCTTCATAAATTTTAAGACGAGCAGTTAAGCTAGATATTTGATCACGACATTCATAAACTAAACGTGATAAACGACTAGCTTCAGATTTAATTTCATCTCTATTGGTACGCATAGCATGTATTTCTTGAATTAACATAGATTTCTCACTAATTTTAATAAACAAACAAAAAAGAAATAGACTATTTTAGCTCGGGATATCAATAAAAAAAATACCGAATAAATGTTTATAAGCATGAACATCTCAGACATATTGCATGAGTTATCTTAATCACTATTAACCAGTGGAAACAAAGATGAAACAGTCGAATTGAAAGTTCAGATATTAGTAAAGGCAACTTAATCGTAGATTGAAAAACGTCTACGCAATGACTGTGAACAGTGATAGGCGACGAAAGCAAGAAACAGAAAGAGTGGTAGTTATAAGTAATAACAGATAACTTTTCCGACTTATCAAAGAAAAAGGTATTCAAATATCTGGTGGTCGTAAGACCATATCTGAAAAAGGATAAGACCATAACCCGCTTTCAGCCCACACAGTTGAAATGATGAGCGTAACACTTAGAGGGATGGTTAACCCGCCTTCAACTATCCATCAGTTGTCTACTGTCACCAAACAAGCTGGATGGGTTACAACCATAAACATGCTAACTCTCAGCGAAGTTAAAAAGGCTACAGGTAATCTAAAGTGAGGGAGAGCAGAGAAACCTGGTAGATTAACCAAGATTATTAAGGATGGTGGCTAAAATTTAAGACTGACTGGGATATTAGCTACAGTTTGGGAATAGTATGTAACCCCATCAGACTGGTCATAATTAGTTTATGAGAAGGAACTAAAATCCTCTAGTTGCAACAGAGAAATCAGTTTGACTAATATAGTTTCTGAAATATTAGCTTCAACAATCTTCCAACGCTTAACTAAGGTTAATGGACAACAAACTTCAGAAAATCAAGCTGGTTTTCAGGCTTAATGTGGAAGTATCGACCAAATATTCGCTCCTAATCAGATAGAGAAACATGAACAGATCTTGACCCTGGGGCACCACTTCATTCCAATAATCGACAGGAATTATGGTAGAATCTGTCACCGAAACGAGCACAAGATAAGTGTGAAGACTCTACACGCAGGCAACCAATGGCCAGGCCGCCCAATTTCCCCATATTCAGTTAACTTTGTCACGGATACTTTATTAAAATAACGCTTCATTCGTTTAAACTTTAGAACTGATCTCACGTCAGGAGATTCAACTATCGACTTAGAATACAGAGATTACATAGCCCTGCTCCTTGAAGGCGCTGAAAACATGCTGTCTTCTGAACGCCTTGAGCAATAATTAAAACACCTCCAAATAAAAGAGGTTGCTTCATGACTGGTTCACAAAATCGCCAAGATTTATCACAGGGAGTGATGTAGTTGGGCGTGCCAATTGTTTCACTTATCTTGGAATTCTCATTAAATCTGATGTGTTGTTATCTGAAGAAATCTCTACACAGGTTCAGAAGTCTTGCCTGACTTTAACGAGTTACGTCACTTATGGAGTAGGTGAGATGTCCATCTGCCAACCAAAGAACGAGTATCTTATGCAACAGTTCATTGTTTTACTTTATAGCTGTAAAAAGTAATATTTAAAAGCAAATTACACTTGAGGGTTACTAGTATTTGATCACAGGCGTCTTTGGGTCATCATTAGAATATGATGAAAACCGCCAAGTGAGCAATCTTGAGGTAGAACACATGGTAGTATGGAAGGATGGTTGATCAGTTGATAAGATTGTAAATCTTCAGCCACCAGTGTGATCGGGACATACACTACGTCCCACCATTGCCTATCTCGACGCTTGATGTTGACTGGTGTTAAAATAAGTTGGAAGAAAGCCAAGGATGGCCAAATTGAAGACGTGGCATTAGTCCATGTAGTCACTGACTGTTAGATTTAGCCATGCTGGTGGGTCCAGACTACTTGGTTGAGGTGTACGGGATTATCGTGGTATGGCTCAGAATAAATCACAACGGCGTAGATGCATTAACTCTCTGTTTTCATTTAGATTCACAGTTTTGAAATTATGTTTTTATTCCATGAATTCATTACTCATTCTCGAATTACATTGCTTAAATTTATCTTTGTTCCTAATACTGATAATACTGTTACTATCTTTACTACTCTGATATTTGTTTTGATAATTCCGACTCCCTATGGTAATGCGGTGTAACACAAATTGGACCGTTGCTAACAAGAGCCAAGTTCTATGTCGTTTATGACTGACTGGCTGAGATACTTTATTTATCCCACCAACCTTCTAAACATCTATAAAATAAGAAGAAATTATCAGTATTTCTCATATCTGACTAGGAAAAAAGTGTTTACAACTAATAACAACAATATTTCTGTAATCTCATAGGAATCTAACTTCCTCCGATTACTGAAAACAAAAAAATCAAAAGTTGAACAACTTAGTAGCAAGTGGATTTTATCAGGAGAGGAACCAATAACTTTAGTTCGAAGCAAAGCCTTAAATGGTCACCTTACATCCCTACAACACTTACTACTACATAAAATTCACAGCACACATACTTTATACAACACCTATTCACTTACCCGGTCACTTCATCTAGTTTTTTAATTAGATCATCTTTTAAAATATTTAAAGCATTTCTGAAACAAAGAGAAATACTATGTTAGAAATAACGAGAAGATACGTAAGTAATCACGTAATAAAACTGAGTCATAGAGTATTATTTTTAACTAACGAACAGGCATAAACTAAATTGATGTAATTTGAATAACTTAGAAAGCAACTAGATTATTCAGAAGAACGAAGGTTGAATAAACTGACGGTTTTAAAAATTACTAAGGAAAGAACGACGATCAAAACAAATTTGGCCATCTTGTTTTAGCCTTGAAAAGTTAACATTAATTATAGTAAGGTCACATACATATATACATACATATACAGAAAGATAAGTTATTTTATTTAAGGCATATAAATATCGTGGTTTATTAGGGTACCAAAAAGAGGCATCACACAAATAAACTGTGAAGGAAAGAAGAGAGAGTTGCAATATGTATGACTAAAAAAGGATGGTGTTTGCTAAAAACAATCCAGTTAAAAATACAACTAATAGATATTCTCCACAGTTAAGAAAGTTCATTTCACTTTAATGAAGGATTAGATAGAAAATTGAAGAAGGATTACCACTGGCTTCGATTCTGAACAATATCTGATAATACCTCAATCCACTGAGTTGAATCATCTTTACAAATCCAACTGAGTAATGACTGATAGACGGGTTCCAATCACAAACAGCTTCATTTCTTATTATGATACTATGTCATAAACTAACCATCTCTCTAACAGTACCCAAGTAATAGGCAATATAAGTCTTTGGAATGACATTCGTAGAACATGTCCACACTAATGAAGTCGGTGTTTAAAGACGGTGACAACAAATGAGTTATCAACACTATAACCAAACGCTGAAAAAACTTACATGCTCTTCTAAAATGTTTACAGCACATCATCGACCACGATTTCACGGAGCAACCAAACCCTTTTTCAAAACTTTCAAGCATAATATCACTGCTCACGACTAAATAGTCTGGATAGCTTCAGTATCATTGGATAGTAAAACAATATCATCTGCATACTTAACACTGAACAATCCTCCAGCTAACAGGTTCACACCATAAGATACTTCCTTTAAAGCTATCGATAACAAAGTTGGAGAGGAATGGTGAGATAAGTCAACCCTAAGAAACCACATTGTTGGGTTGAAACAATAAAGCGAGGTGATCCTATGCCTTTTTCTGAAGTGATTGCGTAAAGATACTGCAAAGAATTGATAGAAATTTCTGTTACACCGTTTCTCGCCAGGCTAATCCAGAGCATAGTCCTGTTTACAGTATACAAGGCAGTCCTGAAGTAATACAAGGATTGACAGCCTGAAATAAGCTTAGCGGAGAATGAACCCAAGACATATACATTCACAACATGAACAAAAATAGGTCTATTCCTCAAGAGTTATTTTTAACGAGTTCTTTACAACCCCCAGAATATAACGAAGGATAATAACTTAGAAAAAAAACAGAAAGCAGACATATGCCTCGATAATTGTTGTATGCATCATATAATCCCTTTTTCAAGGCGAAAACAACGGATGCTTCATTCCCAGAAAACCAGTCCATTTCCTGACTAGAAGTTCGTTAACATTCTTGAAAATAATAGTGGGAATAGGTCATCTGAGCATAACGACTCGTGATGTCTCCGAGGTTGGATAGATAGATCGGGAGTCAATTGTCAAGGAGCACGTAAGTATTGAGGCAATAAACCAGATCATCAGTCCGGGGAAATGCTCCGTCCAACGTTTGACACTCACTTGAAAACTACCAGATGGAATGCCATCAACTTCCCAAACTATTTTACCGATATTAAACGTCTTTCTGCAAGTAACTCGAAGGAGTTGAAACAACTTCCGTTAATTGCAAACAACATGCAGTCGCTGCTTTCAAGTCGTTACCACACTGCGATCATCAAATGTTTCTACTCTTACGCGAGGTTTGTGAAATTTTCCGCAACGATGACCTACGTATACACTTGAACTTGTGATTTGCTGGAGATCATGTAGTGTAAATAAGTAGAAGGTAGTCTGGAAAAGCCCGACGCTTGTAAAGCCACAAACGACTTTCCTCGTATTTTTATTAAGTCATGCAAATGCAGTCAGTGGTTACTCAAAATTTTTAGTCAGTTTATCTTGGGAGCCTAGTTCAATTTGATATTTGCCTGAAACGGGTGTATCTAATCTGCCTATATTAATCTGTTTGAGACGATGAATTGTCTCACAAGCAAGAGACAAAGTTTAGAGGATACCAGGGCATGATTAGAATTCAGATAGGTACTTCAAAACGAACGATATTCTTAGACACAGCCACAATATTACTGGATAAACCAATTGTGACTGACTGAATTTTAGGCTTGAAATGCAAAGAGCAGATTTCAAATAGATGACTGTGTCGGGAGTTAATACTAGCTAGAAACAGTTTGCGATCACAAAGGCGCAAAAGATGTTCAACGTTATCTTACTCGTGATCGCTAAGTCCCTATTGACCACCCAAAAGACTATCCTCTGTTCCTAGACATCAGATAGCACCACAATATTTGCTGAAGGCCCATTTATCCGACAACAGAACTCGTTTTTTACTACATAAGCGTCTGATTTTACAAAAGAAAAAACTTGACAACTGAACAGACACATATTATTATTGAATTGATTAAACGAACCACTTGTATTGTAATGAGAGGTATCGATAATGAATTGTTGACATCTCTTAAATAAAACAACTGCCACGACTTCTCACAAAACATCAAAACCTCATTTTCCTACTTATTAAGACGACTTAAGAATGTATTGTTTGTGTTATAACTAAACTACCATCCAATGCTTAATGTAATTAAAATAATCAAGTCACAATTTTGTATTGATAAAAACGAACTTGTACATTTTATATTGCCTTATGGATTACTGAATGACAAAGTAAACAGTAGTTATTTCGATAGATACAATATTATTGGTCACTAAATTTTATTTCATATAAGTTTATACTGAACACAAAAAACGATAATCAAATTCAATGATAACTAACTTACTTTGTTTCATACAAATCAGTATTCTCTTTAATTAATTTTTCAACTTCTTTGATCATACCTTAATATTTTTTTGTTGAAGAAAACAAAACAAACAAACAAAGAAGTAAAACTTCAAAAATTGAACTTTTCAAAATCAATAAGGCTAACAAAATTCCGACAACCAAATAAATAAGAAAACCCAGCAAAAATACAATTCCCAAAGGGGTGTGAGCTAAATAAAATAGGAATGTAACAGAAAAATTAGGAAACAGCTTAGTTATCATTTTGGCCACTTACACCAATAAAATGTATAGACTAGTGAGTAAACAACAGTAAAACACACATAGTTACTTATATGATTATTCAACATGACTGAAAAATCTAGAAATGAAAAATTGACATAACTAAAAATGTCTGAATATTTCTTTATCCCTAAACTTTAGGTGAATTTGTAAACAACGCGTTCATAGACAATTATTTGGTTCAGTGGTTGAGAATTAGTCGGTAGGAAACCCTAAACCTAGGTTCCCTGCCAGTTGAAATTCATCAACAAGACGTACCTGGAATCTTGAGAGACCCTATGCTACTTGTGGGATTAGAACCTGCGCCAACCAGCTTCATAGTCTAAGACGTTACTGTTAAGATAATCAGGTCTTAACTGACCTCCTATAGGATTGCGACCAGAATACGAACCAGATTGTGAAACTGAATGACTCCAATTAGAATCCCATAGGTGCACCTCCTTAATGGGTGAAGACAAACATCATAGACATAAGGCCTGGAAGAGATACGCGTTGACCGACGTCCCCATACCTGATTAGCGCGAAGAAATGAAAATAAAAGAGCGATCAAAGTAATGCTGTAGCTAGCGAGTGCCAACGGATATGAGGTCCAAGGTCTCCTGTTGACTACCTCCACTTCACATCAAAACATAGTGTGCGTGATGTCAAATTACCTAGATCAGTGACCACATTGCAAATTGGTCAATGGAATTCGATCAAGACCAAAGAATAGACAAACATGACATAGGTCATTATTCAGTAATCGATTGACTGTAAATGATTCGTTTTACCTACTATAAGGGTAATAAAAAAACTACAATCAGCTTGTCTAAATACAATTATCATTGGTGTATATGAAGGGAAGTTAAATGCTCTACGACGTTTTCCTCATTTAACCATTACTTTGACAAATTATTATTATTTCCATGAGCAAATTATTAGCTCATCCTTCTTAACTATTATAGTAATCGTACCAGTGAATTAAGTCATCCCGATGAATATATACTCATATAATGACAATATGGATACCAAATAAGACAAATTAATCTTATTTACTAGAGAAAGAGAATGACACATTGTGACTTATCAAAGAGACTCTTTTCAAACACCATTTTTAGTTTGTGATAATCAAGCTACTTACGACAAAAATGGAAGCTCAAACAGATCAATCACACAAAACTTCAAAAAAACCAAAGATACAAAAAACAAAAACAAAAAGTTGATTATGTAAATAATAAACATATAAATGTAAGTGTAAAAGTTCACCCTGAAAATTATTAATAATGTATGAAGAATATTATTAACTCTGTATTGACTTGGAGCATTGTGTTCATTCGGGACTCGGCAATATGTAAGAGTATTTACAGAAATACTACTGAAGAATTTTAAACAACCATGAAACAGTTGGTTAGTGCTTTCTGACTTTTTAATAGTTCTCCAAGTGATGTTAAATTGTGATTAAAATTACCTTTTAATGTAACTGAATTACTTAGCAGATGAAATAAATTGTGGTTATCAGTAAATATATGACAACATGAAGAAGTTGAGTAATCAATCAGCAATGAATTTAATACAAGTGAGTTTTACCTCAAGATAATACACTTCACAAACAATAAATCAAAGTAAAACTAACAAAATAAAAAGTACATTTTCAAAAGTGATATTAACAATAAGAAGGAACATAAAGGAAACCAATCATAATAAGAAATGAATAAGGAAATAAACACAACACTAGAAAGCAGATTACACTTTTAGTGTGAAACCTGACGGTATTGTTCCGATAACCGATATTCAATAGATTGGACAAGTATGAACACTATGAATAAACTAACAAGTCACAATAAAAAGTCTACTATCGTCTGATTCAACTCCGCCTGTAGCACTTCTAGAGTTACTGCCGGTCCCAAGCCCGGCTAAAGGAGGAGGGTTGGGCATGGGGTTAGCGTCCCCATCCTGTAGAAAACTAACACGCTAAAAAAACGCTTACCAGAAAAAATAATTCAAACCATTTTAACTCTGCACTGGGAGTTAGGTCTTCATTTAGAAGAATTATGACGCTTCATGGTGAAAGCCGAGTTCCTTCGGAAGCCACGATGCCGATGCCCCTTTTAACAACCAGAGCAAAAATTTTTATAGGTACATGGAACGTTCTAACAATGTGGGAAACCGGGAAGACCAGTCAAATAGCAACGGAAATGAGGAGATACAATTTGGCAGTACTGGGAATCAGCGAAAACCACTGGACACAAGCTGGACAGAAAAGACTAGCTACGGAAGAGATGCTGCTATACTCCGGTCACGAAGAGGAAAATGCTCCACACACTCAGGGAGTTGCTCTAATGCTGTCCAAAGTAGCACGAAATGCACTTGTAGGATGAGAATCTCACGGATCCAGAATCATCAAAGCATCATTCAAAACAAAGAAGGAGGAGATCTTAATGAATATTATCCAATGTTATGCACCCACCAATGATAGCAACGACGACATTAAAGATCAATTCTACGAGCAGCTGCAGTCAATCATAGAGAAATGCCCAAGAAAGGACCTCACCATTCTAATGGGAGATCTAAATGCCAAAGTCGGAATAGACAAGACCGGATATGAAGATATCATGGGACGACATGGACTGAGAGAAAGAAACGAAAATGGAGAAAGATTTGCAAATCTATGTGCATTCAACAAATTGGTCATAGGAGGCACAATATTTCCACACAAGCGTATACACAAGGCTACATGGATCTCACCGGACCACACTACAGAGAACCAGATAGATCATATTTGCATCAACAAAAAATTCCGAAGGACAATGGAAGATGTGAGAACCAGGAGAGGTGCTGACGTAGCTTCAGATCACCACCTAATTGTAGCCAACTTAAAACTGAAGCTAAAAAAGAACTGGACAAGTGGACAAACAGCACTACAAAGGTGCAATACAGCCTTCCTTCGAGATACTAAAAAAATCAACGAATTCAAGATGGCTCTCAACAACAGGTTCCAAGCCTTACAGGATCTACTGAAGGAAGAAGAAACTACTATGGAGGACAACTGGAAAGGCATCAAAGAAACATTGACTTCAACGTGTTAAGAGGTACTGGGCCTAAAGAAACACCATCATAAGGAATGGATCTCTATAGAAACACTGGACAAGATCAAAGAAAGGAAGGACAAGAAGGCAGCAATTAACAACAGCCGAACACGAGCAGAGAAAGTCCAAGCACAAGCTGAATACATAGAAGCAAACAAGCAAGTGAAGAGGAGCATTAGAGCCGACAAGAAGAAATACGCCCAACTTCGAGATCAACAAGCTGGATTCCGTAAGGATCGGTCGTGCACAGACCAAATTGCAACACTACGGATCATCGTCGAACAATCAGTTGAGTGGAACTCGTCACTATACATCAACTTCACTGATTATGAAAAGGCATTCGACAGTGTAGATAGGAGGACATTACGGAAACTTCTTCGACACTACGGAGTTCCTGAGAAGATTGTCAATATTATCCGGAACTCATACGACGGACTACAGCGCAAGGTCGTGCATGGAGGACAGCTGACAGATGCATTCCAAGTAAGGACCGGAGTCAGACAAGGCTGTTTACTCTCTCCCTTCCTCTTTCTTCTGGTGGTCGACTGGATTATGAAAACCTCGACATCTGAAGGAAAACACGGAATACAATGGACAGCTCAGAATCAATTAGACGATTTGGACTTCGCAGATGACCTAGCCCTCCTATCGCGTACACACGAACAGATGCAGATGAAGACAGCCAGTGTAGCAGCAGTCTCTGCATCAGTAGGCCTCAGTATACACAAGGGGAAAACCAAGGTCCTCAAATTCAAAGCGGAGAACAGCCATCCAATCACTCTTGATGGCGAAACTCTGGAAGATGTAGAATCCTTCACATACCTGGGAAGTATTATCGATGAACAAGGAGGTTCAGATGCAGACGTAAAGGCAAGGATTGGCAAATCAAGGGCCGCATTCGTACAATTGAAGAACATATGGAACTCAAAACAACTGTCAACCAATATCAAAGTGAGAATCTTCAATACGAACGTCAAGGCAATTCTACTGTATGGAGCTGAAACTTGGAGAACTACAACAACCACAATCAATAAAGTACAAGTATTTATAAATAGCTGTCTACGCAAGATACTCAACATCCATTGGCCGGATACCATCAGCAATAGCCTTCTGTGGGAGAGAACAAACCAACTTCCAGCTGAAGAAGAAATTAGGAAAAGACGATGGAAATGGATAGGACATACATAACGCAAATCGTCAAACTGCATCACGAGGCAAGCCCTAACTTGGAATCCTGAAGGGAAGCGGAAAAGAGGAAGGCCAAAGAACACATTACGTCGGATAATAGAAGCAGATATGAAAAGGATGAATTACAACTGGAAGGAGCTAGAAAGGATTGCCCAGGACAGGGTTGGATGGCGAATGCTGGTGAGCGGCCTATGTTCGTTCACGAGGAGTAACAGGCGTAAGTAAGTAAGTATCGTCTGATTCATAAAAACTATCAAGACCAACATAATTTTTTTACCTGTCTCGGCAAATAATGAAAATAATAACAATAATATTATTACTATTATCGTTAATAATTGTAATTGTTATCTTAAAAAGAAACTGTATGACTCCGTAGTATATAGAAATGGGTTCACCTATTGAACTAGTTAGCCCTCTAAATATAGGCTGAAACATGTATCCTTAAGCTGAGCTTGGTCAAGTTTTTAGCATTTAAATTTAGTCTCCATTCAAAACTCTGCATTTAGTCCTTCGAATCAACATGAAGCTGGAACTTCAGCACAAGTTCGATCAAGTATTCAATGATCCCCTCTTTTAATAGTTAGTGGGGATAATTAATTCCGATAACTTTTCTTCATATATACCCAGAGCACAGCTGTTAGAAGGGATGACGAATATTTGGTTTGTAAAACCTAGTTCTCTTTTTATCTACCAGCACATTCCCACAACAAAGTATTTTGCTATGATAACTATATTTATATGTTTGATGTTTCGGTCAAACTTGTTCAAACTATAGTTAAATACAAGTAAAAATTTGTTTCGAATTTACGTTGAGCTCTTAGTCTGAACACCACAGCAATATCCTAGTTGAGAAGTCCACTCACGATCTATCCTACGATTCAATTGTATACTAATACATGGATATGAACAAAGTTAATTATACAACTGAAAACTTTGTATTTTTTCAACAGATCCACACCACCATTACTTACATTCATCAGAGCTGTTTCCAGAATGTCATCGATGGCAAAGTTGAAGAGGAATGGTGAGATTGGGCAACCCTGCCTAACCCCACTGCTCGAATGGAACAACGGAGAGAGGTGGTTGTATGCCCTCTCACTCTGCCTGAGGTGTTTTTATATAGGGATTTTAGGATGTTAATAAACTTCTCAGGCAAACCCTTCTTCAATAGACAATCCCAGAGAACAGTCCTGTCAAACGAATCGAAGGCAGCCCTGATGTCAAGAAATACTACGATTGTTGGCCTTTGATAAGTATGGCGGTGTTCTAACATTTGGCGGAGGGTGAAGATATGATCAATACATCCTCGACCAGAACGAAACCCAGCCTGATCCTCGCGAGTCAATCTTTCTCGGGTTTTAAACAACCTACGAAGTATGACGGAAGCCAATAGCTTGGACGCAATCGGAAGTAGACTTATCCCCCGATAATTGTTACAGGAACGACGTGAACCCTTTTTAAAGATAGGGACAACTATCGACTGATTCCATGACGTTGGTACACTCTCTAGCTCTCAGACCTTTGTAAACAACGTCGTCAGTTCCTTAGTCAGAAATTCACCACCATCTTTAAAAAGAGCTGGAGGTAAGTCATCTGGGCCAGGTGATTTGTAGCGCTTCAAGAGTTGGAGTTCCTTGCGGACTTCAGCCTCATCTGGTGGATCAGTCGTCACCGGCGATGGAGGACAGGACAGTCTGACCGGTGTTGCCAGAGCAGCAGGCCAGTTGAACTGCCATTCGAAGAACTCTACCCATCGTCCGGCGCTTTAACCGGATCACAAACCAATGGTGCACATGGGCTCCAGTATCCTGCGAGAACAAATGGCGTATGAACCAATCGTTGGTCACCGGCTACCATGGGACTGCATCTCCTTACGATGCTCCACTGCCTTGTGGGTTAGACCTTTAGGTCAATGCTCGGGGTGTCGCCCCCCAAGATAACCACCTGCTTCGGTCTGGGCACCCGGGCAGTATCATAGCCCACACACAAATGATGAACTGTCTATATTTATGGAAACTACTTTTCTTGCTTCAACTAACAATCAAATGATTCAAATTATTATTATTATTTACTACGTCATGATACACCCAATTTTATTCCTACTCTGTCTATACTTATTTTTTCGACTTATACAGCAGCTCGTCTTTGGTGGAAATTCGACTATCTAAACGGTCTCGAGTCACTGTCCGGTTGAAAATTGTATATTACCACCGAATATGAGTACTGAAGCAGTTTCTCTGAAACCACGTGCACCATTCAAACTGGCTGCCTTCAACGTTCGCACACTTATGCAGGTTAGACAACAGATAGGGCTGGCTATGTCTTTAGAAAGTCTTAATATCGACGTTTGTTGTCTATCCGAGACCCGTATTCAAGACTCTGGCGAAGTACTACAAATTCGATCTCCATCTGTCGCTTCGAAAAGCTTGTTTTACGTGCGCTTATCCGGGGACCCCGTGGTATCTTCGTCTGGTCTTGTTGGGGTTGGTGTCGCACTAAGCGCTAGATCTGAGGTAGCACTAATCGATTGGACTCCCATTAACAGTCGGTTATGTGCTGTTAGATTAGAGAGTTTCATCAAAGTGAGAAGAAATCGGCGTGAGAAACGATATCTTTTCATCATCTCCGCCTATGCTCCGACAGATTGCAGCCCAGATGCAATCAAGGATGAGTTTTACCACCAGTTATCTGTTATTCTCCAGAAAGTGCGTTCGACAGATATTGTAGTACTAGCCGGAGACTTGAATGCTCAGGTCGAGCGTCTAGGCACAGAAGAGAGTCGTTTAGGTGGCCGATGGGGACTTGTTGGTCGCAGGACAGATAACGGGGACCGTCTAATGCAACTGTGCACAGACCACAACCTGTTTCTGGCTAGCACTAACTTTCGACACAGTCATCGCCGATGTGCCACCTGGCGTCCTCCCTCTGCATCTCAAGCCTGGACTCAGATGGTGGAATGCTCTTAAAATATGTATTCACATGAAAAAAAAATCGGAAAAACAGAAACTAGGTAGAAAATAACCATACTGACGATTCTCTGCTCTATATCTGTGGTTTTGTGACCCATTATTTGACTTCAATTTGATCGTATGTTGATTACTAATGAAACATACGTGTCGCCAATCCTCGTATATAATTATCGACGTGACTCGCGTTAGTGAATAATGGAATTAAAAATAGGTCAAATATGAGGATGAAGTTTTGAATATAAATATTTTTTACAGTGGTTGATCAGAACAGACAATCAGAGAGATGGAACGAAGGAAGCGAAGAGAAGAAAGAGAAATGAAACAGATCAGAAAAGGCATGTTAGCTAACTCAATTTAACGAACCGTTACTCAATATTTCTAGTCACACAAAAATAAGTTACAAGAAATGTGATGAGTAAGATAAGAAATGCACACACATACGATCATATAAAAACAGTCAGGATTGATAAGCAAATAATTAACAAGATCAAAACATGACTCAAGAAGAATGAATAAATTGGGCTGTCCAAAAGCTAGAATAAGTTATGTGGGCCTGATATGGTGTTATAATGTGATATATGTATGACTAGCTTTAGGGATGTAAAGAAAGCACTTTACCTTCAGTAGACCTCTTTTCACTTTGGAAACGAACTAGAAAGATAAGTCTATTGTAAACAAATGATCACCTACCACACCTGGAAGAAACCAACCAAAGGAACAGAAGTTAAGAGTATTGATCTTCAAACTAGTATTATTTACTAAATTGAATGTGTCAATTTTCTAACACATATTCACTCATTTTTAATATTAACTAGCAATCGAATTACGCATACACATCTTTGTGTAACAATATGTTGAAAAGGCAAACTAAACAAAAAAAGATTGATGTGAAAAATTGTGAATTAGTTGCATTTTTTACAACGAAAACATAAAAACGTAGCGTTTTTTTCTAAAACACGAGTTAATTGAGAAAATAATTAGTTACCAAACAGGGAGTGACAGATAAACCACTGAATAATGTGTAGTTAAGTAAATGGAAACGGAATATTTTAAGTCCCAATAACAAATGAACTAGTTAAAAATATGTATAATGTGAATGTTAAGCTTAGATTATGAGTGCACCGATAATATTGGTGATTAACAGACACAGGTGCGTGGTAATAATTAACGTCAATATTTACCCACCTACAGAAGGTTCACAAACATCAAGAGATTCTGAAACCGGAGGAAATCAACATACAATATGGATACTGTTATTGATTGAGAATATTTATCTTGAATAATTGAATAACAAAAAACTATTTACATAAATTTTTTAAGTGAAATTCGATAAATACACAAGTTCGTATACTCAGCCTTGATCGATCTCCTGATTGTTTGTAGATTCTAGTATTGAATAGTATGTTGTAAGATATACGTATATAATGATCTGTATTACTTGGGGATTCGAATTTTGATTTAAACATTCTTTGAAATCTAAATTTTGTTGGCTAGAAATTGGAAACTACAATAAAACATTATTTTGTTGTAACTTATCACTAGATTCTTCATTTTGCTCAGATAATAAATTTTTAAACCAATTACGTCTACTTTTACTCAAGAGGTGCTTGAACAATCAGCTATGTCAAGTGGATAATGTTCTCATTTCCAAATAGTCCAATACGTCATTGTTACTGGTCCATTTGTTTTAAACATTCAATATAGTAGTTAAACGCTAAGAGAATACATAAATGAGACAAAGTACATTTTACATCCAACTTTTTTTCATAAATAAAGACAAAAATAGAAGAAAAATAAATTAATTAATATATATGTAGGAAAATTAGATTTTCCGTGACTTAGTGTAAGCCACTTCTCCAGAGAATAACAAAATCAAAATTATTCCAAGTTTAAACTTGGTTATTTATCCTCTGAAGTGGCTTACACTGAGTCACGAAACATTAAAAAATCTAATTTCTCTACTCATTGGGATATTACAAATATATTATTTTATTTATAACAATCTACCCAATTCTCAACTTATTCGAAATTATCAAGACAAACCTTGGTAATGATACCTATAGAAGAAAAATATTTATTAAAATATAATTCCCTGTATTTGAACTTTCTATTAAACCAGAAATGCATATATCGACATAATTAAGAGAAAATAGCGTTTACACATCGATTAAAAAGTTTGACAATCAACTGATTAGACAGTTAGTATTGATGAAACCTACAGAACTGGATATGATAAGACACTAAGAAAAATAAAACTGGTAGTAATAATAGAAATACAACATACCAATTTCTTCAACATCATCACTAGTGCCCATAGCAGGAGTTGATTCTAAAGCCGTTTCATAATCTACGCTACAATAGAAAAAAGGATATGTTAATCTGAATGATTATAATCAAATATTTATTCTAAACAAATATTTAAGTTAGAACAGTTTTGTCTTAATTTATTGGGTCCAAGTTATTATGTGCTGATAGACGTTAAGTGATTTACTTCCAAAAGAGATTTTAACTGAAATGGCTAAAAGCAGGTTTAGAAAATGTAATAATATCAAACAGTAGAAACGATTCGTTTAGTAAAACTTGAAAATACATGGTTATAATAAATGTGTACGATTTCAATAAAATTGATAATCACTGAAAAGGCTCTAAAACCCTCCGTTTTCTAGTTCTATAGCTTGAACTCTTGCGTTTGTACGCCAAAAGTCTGTAATAGTTGAACAATTCAGATTCTTTCAAATGATGTTTATTTACTAAGAATAAAAGCATAAGTTCGCAAAATGAAAAGTCCTTGGGACCTATTCGACGCTAAAATGTCATATGCTTTTCGGTAGTGATCAATAAGAATCCCTCTAAAACCAGGTTAAATGAATGGTTATAAACCACGGGTAGCATAAATCTCCAATCTAACAGAGACTCACGTTCCCAAAAAAACAGTCAGGAATGTTTCCGATAGACTAATCAATCCAGAAATATCCGACTTCTGCGACTATGTATAAATAAATTAGTTATGCGATAACAATCAATACCATATTTTAAAAAAGCGGTGATTTAGTAGTTAAATCAGTCAGCTTTCAACCAGTAGCTCGTAATATCAAACTCCATTCCACCTACTTCTGTTCGGATAGCCGATTTGTATTACTGACCTTCGCAAAAACAGTGCAGCTTAAAGCTGGTTATATAAGCATGTGCTTTTTAGATAAATACTCTAGTTCTTACCAATCACTGAAGCCGATAAACCACGTAATATACAACAACTATTCTCACAAATGTAGTACATTTCTAGTGGCTGAACTTCATCAGCACGTAATCGTGTTTTAAGTAAATCTATAGAAAGAAAAGTTACAATCAATGAACAACTCCGAAGTAAAACACTTACATATCATCATAAATGTCAATAAAAGAAGCGGTACCATTATTTGACTTCAAAGAACTATCAAGAGAGTGCAAAGCGTTCACACCAGGTTCAGATTCTAGAGGATCTGAATAAAATAAGAATACATAAGTGAATAAAGCTGATTAACCCTTGAACTACACTATGTAAATGAATTTCTAATTGTATAGATTAATTTGATATCGTCCACTTTACATTTGAACTTATATTCTTAATCGAACACTTAACCTAGTTATCTCTTTTAAATGACCTTGCACAATAATAACTATTTATTCATATTGAAATGAAATGAAGTTAGATCTGTGGTTAAAATGTCATGAATCAACAGTAATAAAAAAATTTTATTTGAGATTATGAATCGACCAATGTTAGATCACAATTGAAAACCTGGAAGCACTGAACGGCCGTTTCGTTCTAGTATGGGACTCCTCAGCAGTGAACATCCACGATTCCGCACGCAGGAGTTGATAGCTACAAAGAAATTTCTCCAGTGATACATACTAAGTTTCAAGAGATTTGTTTTGTTTAAAGGTCAACAAAGCTAGAAAAACGTTTGTTCTCTGAACTTTTAGGTAATTTATGATTAAAATTAACAAGTTACCAACCGATTATGCTGATTAGTACGGATCGTAAGGGCTACCCACCTGACAGATGAAAATTAGAGGATGTAATTACGCAATAAAAGTATTAAGAACATCGAAACTATAAGTATCGTATTCATCTTGGTAAATTTTCCACACAAATCATTTGAAAGGCAATAATGAATGCAACATTACATACATTTGCAACACAAGAAACATGAGCATTCACAATATGTGTTTACCAATATCTGAACAAAAACTACTACTTGATAAAATCACTATTAAGTTATAAAACCAGTTATGAAAGATAAGTAGCACATATATTTTGTTTAAAAACCAATAGGATATTATCTAGCCGATAAAGCAATTAATTAATCTGATAAAAATTAACTTTGCCGCAGCAATCACTGAAAAAATCACACCATAAACGAATTATAATTTAAAACAACTTGAAAAGTAGGATAAAACAAAACTATTGGAAGTTGATACCTTCCCATTTACTTACGTGTTAAATTAATTCCAATGGTTGAAATGCCATTATTTCTAGAATTCGTGTTTAAAATGTAACCCGATTCTACTGAAATTTGATTAGGATTTTCATTTGTGGGGTTTGAATTCTATGAATATAAAACGGGAAATGAAAATTTTTGAAATGTATTTTAGGATGAAACAAATATTACAGCCCCATAGATGAATCTTCTTAAGTATAAAAGTATACACTTTACTGATAGGTCCTAACATTGTTCATTTCTATCGATATTCAATTAAATATTAATGCTACAGTTAGTTTTCAAAAGGTTACACATGTCCCGTAATCAATAAAATATGTAAATCATCCCAACTTTATACCTAATTATAAGATTGTAACAAATTAGCCGACTATTTAGTGTAATGACAAAGAAAAAATAGTGAACCAAAAACTATCTGTTATTAAAAAGAATTGATTAAACAAAATGTTGTACTTTCTCGTTCTCGATGTAAATAGCTACAAGTGATAAATCTTTTTTAGTATGTATATATCCTAAGCGGATTACCACGATATTACTATTTAGTCACAAGTTTTTAGTAAAGATCAATAATTGCTAGTAGAGGAATTCGGGATGCATGTGTTTTCTTGGTCGAGACTTGTTAGCTGGAAGTAGATGAACTGAATAACATGTTGGCGTTTGAAGACAAAGATCTTGAGTCCGGGTTTTAATATGAACATAAAAACTAGAAAGCAGGTACATTCAACTGATGAGTCACAAATAGGAGGACACAAGTGTTCTGGATTCGATAAAAATGTGTTTACAGTGTTCAAAAAACACTTTATCATATAGTAGTCGGACTTGAGTATTGTAACAAACTGCGATTTCACATTATATTTCTTTCGTTGCATATAATACGCAGTGAACCAGTTTTATAAATCGGATGGCACTTCGCACATTAATTGGGCAGTAGACAATAACTAAGGCACGAAACATCATTTATATACATGTTTAAAGCAAAGAGAATTCACAGCATGAAATATAAAAGTATATACTAAAAATACATACAACGGTCGATTTCATAACTAGCTCATTTGATTCAGTATCTTTTTCACAACCAATGCATACAGTTCCCGATTCAATATCGTTGTTTGACACAGATAAATTGTTTGTTTCTATATAATCCACATAAATTTTAAGTAATTTAGTGTATCTTTCATTTTGTGCAGATAATTCTGATCTAAGTTCTTGTTCCCTTTCTTCTAATCTAAAAACTGAATAAGAAAGTAATAAGTAGTTATAAATCATATAAATGATTTACCTAAGAAGTAAGAAATTAGCATTCACTGAGACTATAAAAGAATAAATTCTTCCATTGAAAGCAATCCACTTTTCAAATTATTCATCACCAACAACAAATGAATATAAATCATGCTTTTTCAGGTTAACATCAATTAAGAAATGTTGAACAACAAATTAAATAACTATTATATAAATGTATGAGCTTTTTACTGTACAGTATTCATCGATTTATATTTCTTTAAAAATAACAAGTACTTAAATGAAAGTAGCAAATGAATAGAACCGACTTCTAGTTATTATGATTTTATCTTTGAACATGAAAAAAATTCGTTACAACAACTAACAGAATATAAACAGGTTAACCATTTGACCAATATCAAACAGCAAGAAAAACAGTCAATCTACTAAACCTCTTCACAACTACACACTAAAAATAGGAACATTAAAATCATTTCTTTATGTAGCCAAAATTACTGATTAGCATAATAATGTAACGTGTAACACATAAACCAGAACAAAAATACTTATATAAAACGAAGAAAACCTAATTCCCATTAGTGTACGATCCGACTATATAAGAATTTACGTCAAACAGACAATTTCCTCATCGCTTTATAATATTGTTAAAGGAGACAGGGAATATTGAATTTTAAAAAAGTTCACATTATCTGAAGATGAACCCTAATAACATGTAGGAGTGCAAAATTCGTAGCAGTAGCATAGTTAAATTCATTCCCTATCTCATTCGACATTTTAAATCAAGTGTTATTTATAATTCTGCACATACATACATCTTACCGCTTCCTTGTGAAATATATTTCTCATATTCGGATTCCTTTGGAGGTTGAAATGAAGTCCCATTTTTAGCTTTTCATCTTGTCAGTTTCCTTTTTGTTAGACTGATGTGATATGTGACAACTTGGATCAGTCCACATGAGTACTAAACCTTACATTGATAACCGCCTGACGAGTAAAATGGGACAGTGATCCCAATATATGTAAAGAATATCAAAAGCCAGAAACGCCACTAAGAAAAAATTAGCTAACTTTAAAATAGTAAATGGCCTCAACTTAAATGGATGTGAGAATATCCTACAAAAATGATGAGTTAATGAGTAAATTATATCTTTTCGAAAAAATTCCACATTTGATTACCATTGACAAAAATAAACACAAGGACCTGACATAAATATTTACCGACTTGAATCGCCACGCTACAAAATGCCACTGAAAATCTACCGCATACTAAATTTACACTACTACGACACCCTCAGCGCACTATCAAGTAGGAGAAACGTCAACAGAGGCTAATATAAACAACTTTAAAGCTAATAATGTAAATCGGGAGGCTAAACAGCATTCCAGCGCTCACATATATCGAATGATTTGTGTGGTGCATATCCATTTGGTGCCTTCTTGTACCAACGTTTATATGTTTAAATACACAAAATAAATCGGAATTCACTTTTGAATACCGAACTAATTGTGTGAAGGTTAGTGGTCGGTTCCCGAGCGAGTTAAAATGCGAATATGTGACCCACAGGTTGAAAGTCAAGTATATCAACTAATGCGTTATATCACATGAAAATATAACAACAAAGTACATCAAATTACTTGAAAGAGCTAATTGATGAAGCGGAAAAAATGCATCAATAGTACTTGAATAATTTATACCATATCAATGTACTACTTAGGTTGACAAGCGGTACCATCAAGAGACTGTTAATATACATTTAATTGTTACAGATAGATCGACATTACCAGGAGAAATAACCTTAAACTACCACACCCTACAGTCCAATGAGTACATTAATTAGGGGTTGTAATAATAGATGAGATCTTAAAAGCGTTATTACTACATAATTTTTACCAGACACTTCCAGCAACTTTTGGTTGTGTACGATTTATAATGTAGTGCTATGCAAGCCCACATAGCTTATTCTAGCTTCCAGACAAGCCACTTTATTCAATCTTCTTAAATCACCTTTGACCTTGTTAATTATTTGGTCATCAGCCTCGACTGTTCTCTATGTAAGCGTATGTATGTGCCTTTCCTACCACATGTCTGTAATCAATATTGATTCACGCTTGGGTAAATTGAGCTGGTTCACATGCCTTCCCCACTGTGCGTCATTTCGCTTTGCTTCCTTCGCTCCGTCGATCGAAGCTGCTACCTTGACGCGGTGGTCGGGCTTGCCTATCGTGATGACCCAACTGAGCTATATTGGCTGGAACATATGTTCCTGTAGGTTCTACCATGCCAGACAGGTCGATTGGTGAACGGTAAGACTAAAAGCAGCAACTCATGGTCTGAGGGCGAAGTCGTACTGCTGACTGTAGAGAGGTGTGACAGCAGTAAGGTGTTTCCCTCGGACAACCAGCATGACAGCGATGCTGCCTTCCCACAAGGAGGGGTGGGGTTAGAAAAGGTCGACCCTAAAAATGTTACACCTCACCTTACCTCACGGATTTCCGTCTCCGGCGGTAAGGCCCTTTGAAGAACGGAGCTAACACGTCAAAAACCTTCCACAAAAAGGCCGTGAGCGACCGGCCTCAAGCAGTTGTCCCTTGGGCTCTGCGGTCACGCTCCCAGGTTGTCAAGACCAACACTAATCCAATTTCTTTTTCAGGTTCCTCAAGAAATACCCTTCCACGGTGTGGGCAGCCGGGAAGTGACATCAGCCCTCATACCCGTAACAGCAAAAGAGACCAAGGTGGTCACATTCAAATCCTTCCTACACCTCCTAATACCTCTCTTATCTCCCCGACTAACCCTCCTCACGTCTCTTTATCACCTCGCACCGCTAGGGCAAACGATTCGAGTACGTGGAACGCCATTCCTGGTCTCCTGAAACCACGCTCTAAACTACACGTAGGAGCTTTTAACGTACGAACACTGTGCCAAATAGGACAGCAGGGTTCCTTAGCTAGGACTTTAGAATCTCGCGCCATCGATGTGTGCTGCGTCTCCGAAACGCGCATACAGGATCCAAGTAGCGTCATTCATTTGACCTCACTATGCCAAAATAAAGAACCGACTCGATTTACGCTTCGTGTATCTGGAAGCCCTGATTCCGCTTCCCATGGCCTCGCCGGCGTAGGTATAGCATTGAGTCCTAGGGCAGAACTAGCTCTCTTAGACTGGATCCCAGTAGACAGTCGTTTGTGCGCTGTCCGACTGAACGGAACAGTAAGAATCCGGAAAGATAGGGACACTCGTCGTTGCCTCTTCGTCGTCTCTGTCTATTCTCCCACTGACTGCAGCTCAGATGTAAAAGATGAGTTTTACAGGAAGCTTTCGGACCTTCTCCGAAAAGCTCTGATGTAGTAATAGTGGCCGGTGACTTTAATGCTCAAGTAGGTAAACTAAGCGATAGGGAAAGACACCTAGGTGGATCTTATGGTGTCGTGGCTCAAAGAACAGATAATGGCGACCGTCTGTTGCAGCTATGCTCAGATAACCGCCTGTTCCTTGCAAATACTAACTTAAAGCATAAGAAAAAACATCTTTTAACATGGCGATCCCCTAATTCGTCCCAACGTTGGACCCAAATAGATCACATCGCTATCAGCCACCGATGGAGGGGCTCGATAGAAGACTGTCGCTCATTCTGGAGCACATGCCTAGATTCAGATCATGCTCTAGTGAGAGCGCGTATTTGCTTGCGTCTTACTGGACGTAGGAAAGACGCTGCAAGGAAACCTCTTAGGGGCCTAATTAATGATAGTCAAGCTAAGAGTATATTTCAGGAACAACTAGGAAAACAGTTAGGCAGCCATGTATGTGATGCCCACCCCGAGGCAACATGGAATGATATCCGAAAAGCTGTGGAAACAGCAGTAATATCTGCTAGTAAGGTAAACCAGAAGGTTAGGGAGCAACACTGGATCTCAGCAGCATCTATCTCACTGATAGATGCTCGGAAACTCATTCCACCCAGCTCTGAACATAATGAAGAGCGGAGTCAGCTTAAGCGCAAGCTGACAAGAAGTCTACGCAATGATCGCGAACAGTGGTGGGTAGCGAAAGCAAGAGAGATGGAAAAGGCAGCGGCAATAGGTAATAGCAGACAATTGTTCAGACTCGTTAAGGAAACCGGAATTAGGAACCCGACCGTTAGCGAAACAATCTCAGAGAAAAATGGACATATTATACATTCTCAATCCAGGAGATTGGATCGATGGGCAGAACACTTTAGGGATCAGTTCAACTGGCCTTCAGCCACACTTCGGTTTCCCACGATCTCTAGTCAACCTGAATGGCAAGTTAATGTAGGTCCTACGTCCCTTTACGAAGTTGAAAAAGCCATAGGAAATCTGAAACGAGGGAGAGCAGCAGGCCCTGACAGGTTTACTCCTGAGATTTTTAAGGATGGTGGTCCAGTATTAGCAATGAGATTAACCGAGGTCTTAGGTAGAATTTGGGAACTGGACGTAATCCCATCTGACTGGTCTCAATCACTGATTGTGCCAGTCTATAAGAAAGGACAAAAGTCCTCTTGTGACAATCACAGAGGAATCAGTTTGACTAATATAGTGTCTAAAATATTAGCTTCAATAATACTTCGACGCCTAATCAAAGCTCGTGAAGAGCAGATTAGAGAAAACCAGGCCGGTTTTCGACCTGGACGTGGTTGTATAGACCAGATATTCACACTACGTCAGGTTCTAGAACACAGACACACATTCAGACGCCCCACAATCGTAGTATTTCTGGACCTTAAAGCAGCATTCGACTCTCGATCGTAAGGTTCTATGGCAGTGTTTGTCACTGAAAAGAGTACCAAAGAAGTACATTAATCTTATAAAGGCTCTCTACTCGAACACAACTGGTAGAGTAAGAGCTTATGGCGAACTGTCATCAGAATTGATTACCTCAAGTGGTGTTCGTCAGGGCTGTCCACTCTCCCCATTCTTGTTCAACTTTGTGGTCGACGTACTTTTAGAGATAACACTCTCCTCATCTAAATTTCCAGGGGTTGAACTTCTACCGGGAGGTTCACTTGTTGACTTAGAATATGCAGATGACATAGTTTTATTTGGTGAAGACGCTGACAAAATGCAGAGTCTTCTGACCACTCTAAGCAACAATGCAAGCATGTTCGGGATGCGATTCTCTCCCTCGAAATGCAAAATGTTGCTTCAGGATTGGGTTACATCGACACCCGAACTAGTGATAGGGAGTGAAGTAGTTGAGTGTGTCGACCGCTTCACTTATCTTGGAAGTCTCATCAGCCCTTGTGGTCTGGTGTGTGACGAAATCTCAGCACAGATACAGAAGGCTCGACTAGCTTTTGCCAACTTGCGTCATTTATGGCGTAGGCGAGATATCCATCTATCAACCAAAGGACGGGTTTACTGTGCAGCAGTTCGTCCCGTCCTACTTTATGGCAGTGAAACATGGCCGGTAAGAGTAGAGGATATCCGTAGGCTACTAGTATTTGATCATAGTTGTCTTCGAAACATTGCTCGTATATCCTGGGACCATCGAGTAAGTAACACAGTTGTTAGAAAACGGGTACTAGGTAAGGATGGCAAATCAATTGATGAAGTAGTGAAACTTCATCAGTTGAGATGGCTGGGACACGTGTTACGTATGCCCAACCACCGACTGCCCCGACGTGCTATGTTCAGTGGTATAGGAGTAGGTTAGAAGAAAGCTAGGGGCGGCCAAACCAAAACATGGCACAAGTCCATGAAGTCACTGACAAGTGAACTGAGTCATGTTGGTAGGTGTAGACTACCTGGTTGAGGACCGCGAGATGATAGCAACCGATGGTTAGAGACCCTGAATGACATGGCTCAAAATCGTTTGCAATGGCGCAGGTGCATCCACTCTCTGTGTTCTCCCAAATTCTAATCTTCTGAATTCTTCATGTCCCTTTTTTCCTCTTTCCAAATTTATTTCACTGTATTATACTCTTTAAATAACATCTCCAAACCCTAATCTTCCCGATTACTGCTTATACTCTTATTACCTCTACCACTACGGGATTTGAATCGACAACTGCATCTCTGTGCTAATGTGGTGTGGCAACTCGAACTGATGTACGCACGTACGAAGTTCTAAGCTGTTACTGACTGACTGACTGACTGACTCCGTCTCCTGATTATCTGTTTTGTGTTGTTGCGTGATCTCAGTCTGAAACTGATATATACGCTTTCTATATCCGTACCCAAACCATGTACTTATGTGGGAAGACCAACAGTGAGCAGGATGCTTTTAGTGGTCAACTGAATCGAAAATACACGTACAAATCATTTATAAATATAGATAAGTATCTATGGGGAAATAAGATAACGTTATCAAGCAATATAGTACGCCCGTCAGTATTTTTCACTTATTTGGTCGATGTTTGACCGGGGCAGTTTCAGGAAGCTCTCCGAGTATTATAACAACTGAGTGAAAAACTGAATATAAAGCCGAGTTTAAATATTTTAAAACTGTTAACAAGCATTGGTTGAACTTTAAAAGTGACACGGAAATAAGGAAGAAACAGATACTTTACAAATATACGTTCACATATCAATTTATCTGCTTCAATCAAGATATATGATGGACCTTTTGATAACTATGGCTTACTAGCCTTCTAATCATCAGTCAGATACAACGTAGGACCAGGCATATATGTGCATCCGTCCAAGTTGCCATACCTCATTAGCACAAGATGAACGCTTAATTCATAGAAGTAGTTACTTCAATGGTATTAATATATAAAAGAATACATATAAGGATATAAAACAGGAAGAAAGAATTAGTTCGTAGAAAGGAGGATATAAAGCAATTTTAATCTCACAGATTAAGGGGAGACAGAGTGTATACACCTACGCCATTGTGATCGATTCTGAGCCATGTCACCCAGAGTCTCCAACCATTGATTACGACAGTCACACGGACCCCAGCCAAGTAGCCTGCATCTACCAACATGTATCAGATCAGAAGTTAGTGACTTCAAGCACTGATGCCACATTTCTGGCTGCCCCTAACATTCCTGCAGCCATCTCCAACACTAGTCACAATTGCGCGTCGTGGTTATCGGTGTTCAGGCATACGTAACACGTGGCCCAACCATCTCAGTCGATGAAGATTCACAACTTCATCAACTAATTTACCATCATTCCCTAATATCCCACGTTTAACCTCATTATTACTTACCCGGTGATCCCAGCAGATGCCAGCAATATTTCTAAGACATCTGTAGTCAAATACTAGTAGCTTACGACTATCTTCAACTCTTAATGGCCACGTTTCGCAGCCGTTAAGTAAAACAGAACGAACTGCCGCGCAGTATACTCGTCCTTATAGTCATCAACATCATATGATCAACTGCTCCATTTATATACTAGTCAGTAGTCTTTTAAGAGAGATGATAATATGACTACTACAAATCATTGTAGCTAGTCGTGACATGTGAGAAATTTACTTAAATAATCATCAAGGCGTGGTCCTCAGAAAAAAAACAACTGGAGAAATTTAGGAATTATCTGCAGTCTAAATTATTGCCGTCCACCAAATGTTCAAGTACTTTTACTCCTTAGATTTCAATAGTCTATTTTACTGGGTCCTGTGATAGTTTAGGTGTCGTTTTACGAAACTTCTAATGATCATATGTATTATGTATTTTCTATCAAATTAGCTTTTCATTGCAAAAAGCGTACATTCTGTACTTTATAAGAAAACAACCCATCATTCACGATTTTGAGAAGTATTTTAAGCATATGTTAACAATTTATTGTAACATTAAATTCAGCTGAGCAAACTTTACTTACTATGATCATTAGCATTTTTGACAAGAAGTTGATAATGTCTCGAATTCTCCTCAAGTTCTTCGAATTTCTTGTCCGTTTCTTTTTTCATACCAAGCAGCTCATCTTCCAGACAGTGAATATGCTGAATATACAACCATAATGACAATATGTTAGATTAAAACATACTCTTTTTGCAGCTATGTAAAGCTCCTTTTGACGACACAATTGTACAGAAATATCATTCTTTTCGGCAGTCAAAAGATTTAAGTCAAGATCTAATTTCTGCTTATCCACAGTCAAGAGGTCCATTTCTTCTAGAATACCGACAACAATAGGTACCAATCCACCGTATGCGGATTCGCCATAGACCTTCTTTATGACTTCAAACTCCCGATAAATTATTTGGGCTAATTGATAGACCCTGGGTGAAATCCGTTGTTCCTTTCCAAAATCCATGAGCTTCGTATGTTTTTGATACTAAAGTATACTTTTCTCACTGAAAAAATAAAATGTTATAAAATTCGAATCAATCCCAATAACAAATTACTATCAGGAAATGTTTCTTTAAGAGTCGGAAAATGTATCGTTTGTGTCTAAATTTTGTCAATAAATTCTCGTTTTGACACTACATAAATTACCATTTATATACCGGGAAAAGTCTTCAGTAGGGTATTGTTAAACAGGATGAAGGACTGCGTAGACGTCCAACTTCGTGACCAACAGGCAGGATTCCGTAAGGATAGATCGTGTACAGACCAAATCGCAACTCTACGGATCATTGTGGAACAATCAATTGAATGGAATTCATCACTCTACATCAACTTCATTGACTACGAAAAGGCATTTGATAGCGTGGACAGAACAACACTATGGAAGCTTCATCGACACTACGGCGTGCCTCAGAAGATAGTCAATATCATACAGAACTCATATGATGGATTACACTGCAAAATTGTGCATGGAGGACAGTTGACAAAGTCGTTCGAAGTGAAGACCGGTGTTAGGCAAGGTTGCTTACTCTCACCCTTTCTCTTCCTCCTGGTGATCGACTGGATCATAAAGACGTCAACATCTGAAGGGAAGCGCGGGATACAATGGACATATAGGATGCAGTTGGACGATCTGGACCTCGCAGATGATCTGGCTCTCCTATCGCACACGCAACAACAAATATAGAAGACAACCAGTGAAGCAGCAGTAGATTTCAACATACACAAAGGGAAGAGCAAAATTCTCCGACACAATACAACATGCACCAAACAAATCACACTTGACAGAGAAGATTCGGAAGATGTCAAAACCTTTGCATATCTGGATAGTATCACTGATAAACACGGTGGATCTGATGCAGATGTCAAGGCGCGGATCGGCAAAGCAAGAGCAGCATATTTACAACTGAGGAACATCTGGAACTCAAAGCAATTGTCAACCAACACCAAGGTCAGGATTTTCAATACAAATGTCAACACAGTTCTACTGTATGAGGCAGAAACCTGGAGAACTACGAAATCCATCATCCAGAAAATACAGGTGTTTATTAACAGTTGTCTACGCAAAATACTTCAGATCCATTGGCCGGACACTATTAGCAACAACGTACTGTGGGAGAGAACAAACCAGATCCCAGCGGAGGAAGAAATCAGGAAGAAGCGCTAGAAGTGGATAGGACACACATTGAGGAAAGCACCCAACTGCGTCACAAGACAAGCCCTCATATGGAATCCTCAAGGCCAAAGGAAAAGAGGAAGACCAAAGAACACATTACGCGGAGAAATGGAGATAGACATGAGACAAATGAACAAGAATTGGATGGAGTTAGAAAAGAAGGCCCAGGACAGAGTGGGTTGGAGAATGCTGGTCGGCGGCCTATGCTCCATTGGGAGTAATAGGCGTAAGTAGGTAAGTAAGTAAGCTTTATGATATGCTATAGAGAAATATGGCAAATGGAACTAATAGTGTCTGAAGAAGTCCTAATACGCGTTACGTAATCGATGCTCCAAGGTTGATGAGATCGAATCCTATTACCACCTAGCTTCTTGGAAAAATGTGATAGTTTAAAAGAGAACCATTATGTTGTCAAATTTATTGATGTCATAGGCTTGTAAACATGACTGGATTTTCCCGTGTTTGAATGAAGACCCCCCTGAAATTCAGTTTGTACACGATAATTCAATAGCCCAAACAATCAAAGGTAGAACACCAGATAACCTCATGCCACAAGATGTGGATTAGCTCCGAAGATCTCGTAAAAACTGCTATAAGATTTTAAGTGAAAGAATCATGGTTTTTCCATGTCCAAAATTGCTTATTACCACACAATACTAATGCTGGGGATTTTGTGACCACTAAGAGTAATTAGCAAATGAAGGATTTAACCTCACGATAAAATCAATGACAAACAATCTTAACAACTGTCAATATAACCTCAAAAAATGTCTTGTTTTATGGCTTCATGCTACACACATCCTGATACCAAAAAGATTAACTATACAAATAAAGTGATAACATTATGAAGAAAAGCTTTAAAATGTGTGGCCAAAAAAAGATAACGTCTATTAAAAATACGAATGACAAATATTTCTCATAGGGAAGCTGACCTCACTTTTATGAAGGATTACATAGAAAACTGAAGGATTACTACTAGCTTTCATTACGAATCATATCTGATAGCATCTCAATCCACTGAGTTCAATTATATTTACAACCCTGATTGAGGAAACCTGACCGATAGACAAGTTAATCATATGTAGGTTTATTTCTTACCACAATACTTTATTACAAACTGACCACGTATGTATTCTCACCTAAATAGAGTTCTCAAATAATACACGGTTTAAAGTTTCCGGACCAAAATTTGTAGAACAGTTTTAACCCAATTGAGTCGATGTCTTAAAATGGTGACACTAATCGGATTATCCTCAGTCCCCAAAAGTATTTTCGGACAACGGTAGTACCTATGTGACGTCACTAAAAATGAGAAAGCCTCCGGGAACAATGATGACCAAACAAAATACTAGAACATATGATGCTTATCGTCGCACAGTAAAATGTTACTATCATCATACTTAAGTTTGAAAAATTTATCTTGAGGCAAAAGATTTACACGACGACCATCTAATCTGATAAGAACGGTTTCTAAAGTACCGTCAGTGGCAAATTCGACGAGGAACGGAACCATGAGACTGAATACTGAGTGAGCGAAAAGATAAGTCTCAACAACTGCCTAGTCACTAAAGCACTATTCTGATGTGTGTATCATAATGCACACTATGAACAATAAAATCATTGCCAGCCCAGCAGTCAGTTATCAGTACTAAAAAATTAGTTGCTTGTGGAAATGAAGCTTGAGACTTCCTCAAGAATTAATATGAAGACAGTAACTTCGATACGCAATTATCGTTTATTACACTGCCTGAACAATTTTGACATAATTATGAATAAGTTGGAATATAAAAAAAAAAACAGAACAATTGTACTATAACCTAAACCTCCAGTTCAATTAAAACTTTATAAATATACGTCTTGGACAACATTTTGATGCACATTCCGCTTACCGTCTACTACCGTCACCAATTGACTTGAGCTATGACGTAGTTCTCTAAGTATGGAAATTATTTACTCTTATGGATCCAACGGCGAGACTCTAATTTAGCGACGACCTTTGAACGAATCTTAAATGACCTTGACAATTATTAGCCAATCAGAAGACAGCTAGTACAAAGTGAGAATATATTGTAAGTAAGTAACGAATTACAGTGGATATTCTTCTTTTACATGATTTAAAAACTTGCTAAGGTTTGATGAAGGTTCAGAGCCTCTCAATTCATAATGCATATTGTATAGAAACTCGTCCATAGCGTTAGTGGTTAGGGTTGTAGCCTGTCAATAGACATCTCATCTCTAAAATCCGATGTAAACCGATCGCATGTTAGCACCCTAATCTAACCCTAACCCAAACCTTAACCTAACCCTAACCTTAACCCTAAACCCTAATCTAACCCTAACCTTAACCTAACCCTAAACCCTAATCTAACCTTAACCTAACCTTAATCTAACCTTAACCTAACCCTAACCCTAATCTAACCCTAAACACTAACCTTAGCCCTAAACCCTAATCTAACCCTAACCATAAACCTTAACCTAACCCTAAACCCTAATCTAACCCTAAACCCTAACCTTAACCTAACCCCAAACCCTAATCTAACCCCAAAACCCTAACCTTAGCCCTAAACCCTAATCTAAACCTAACCTTAACCCCTAACCCTATGGACGAGTTTCTATACAATATGCATTAAGAATTCAGAACTTCTGAGCCTTTATCAAACCTCAACAAGTTTTTAACTCATGTAAAAGAAGAATATCCACTGTAATTCATTACTTTCTTGTAATATATTTTTACTTTATACTGTCTTCTGATTGGCTAATAATTGAAATTGCTCAAACGCTTCTCACTGGCTCGTCCCTAAATTAGAGTTTCGCCGTTCCATCTGTTTTAACCTCTCATTAATCACCTCCTCTCTAAAATCCGCTGTGAACCGACCGTATGTTAGCATCGCGTGTTGAACTTGGCTCCGTGACCTTGAGATTGCTCAAACGCTTCTGATTGGCTCGTCGCTAAATTAGAGTCTCGCCGATCCAACAGTATTCGGTTTGAAACAGTTGTTTTAGTACCGAATGCAGCTAACTATCCTGAAATGTCTTGAAGGCAATTATGCTTCAATTCGATCTCCGAAAGCAAGTTATCAGAAGTTTGGACTTTAACAAAATAGAACCAAGGTCATGAGAGAGACAAGGTATAAAGGCAAGGTTTAAACGTTAGGTCCTTTTGAAATGTGCCCGCCCTTTCGTTTCAACGACCTTGAACGGCTTGATTAGAGGCGGTCATTCCGTATTTCAATTGCCGTGGGTTGGTTGGATTGCATGAGTACCAAGTTTTTTCATATATAAGTCATGTTATGCTACATAAAAAAGCACGAAATAAATACGAAAACCATTAATTTAGCGTTCTCTGTTTTGTAGTGTACACGTTGGCTCTGTTGTTGCTTTGTAATTTGATCTTTGATCCCAACAACTGTAGTAAAGCTCAACGAAATGTCAAGTCACAGGTAAATCCTAAGTATTTGTAGTATTTTCTTGGGTTATTATTGTCACAAGGAATAACCTTTTAATAATTAGTCATTTCTGTTTTTAGTGCTTCATGCTCAAGTGACATTTCAGTCGACCTAACCGATGCCTTTCGAAGTATGATACTGAACAAGCGTTTCGTCTTGTGGGATGATTTTGAAAGCGCCTTAAAAGAGTTCCAAAAAGTATGGAATTATAGTTTTATCGCTTCTCAGACTACTTATACTCGTTACATCCACACAGAAAGCAGATTGCTGAAGGATGTCAGGTTCAAATACCTGTTTGGTCATAAGAGGAAATCGGAAGGTTTGAAAGTGAGGCAAAAATCGTAAGATCTGTAACTAATATCTTATGTTTAAGGTCTAAATTCCGTAATTGTCGATCTAAATTTCGTGTAAGACTAGAGGAGCAAGGATATGTCATCAAATCCTACAACATGCTCCACAATCATCCATGTAGTAGTTCATGGATGGTATGTGATCCATTGACAAGGAGATTATCGTCATGAAAAGTCAATCTGTTTTCTATTTTTCACTAGAAAAATGGTGATTTGGCTTGTTTGACCTTGTATTATTAAAAAATAACCATATTACGCCAACTGCATGTTTACTTAGGTGGTGAGCACAAAATACGTCAAACTGCTTATAAATTGAAATAAATACTATCTTCCAATCACAAAGATTACGAGAAGTCACGTATGATGGAAAAAAGGCTGTTAATAGCTGATAAATAACGAAACATAAAATCCACGACAATATGTTACATGTGCGCGAAAACCCGTAAACTAACACGCATAGTGTGCCGTTATAAACGGTAATCCCTTTCAAATCTGTCCACCGTTTCGTTTCAACGACCTTGAAAGCGCTGACTGGAAGCGGGAGAGAGAGAGCATTCTCGGTTTTAAAAAATGTGCATATTTTTCGTCCTTCAGATGATAGAAACATCAGTTGACAACAAATGTCCTTATTGCGCCATTCTTGCTTATTTGGGGAGAATAACGCTTTAAGTAGTTCCTATCAGTACCGCAAAAATCAAATTGGATTTCAAGTCCTGCTTCAAAGAATCTGTAAAATATCTCCCCACTATAACTTCCGATAATTGACGCCAAAAGATATGAATTCTAACCGCGAAAAATTTTTAAGCATTTTATATGTGCTCTTTCGTGTTCTACCCTTTTGACAAGGTGTCACCTAATAGACTGCTATTGAAGTTGAAAAACCCTGGTATTGCTGGACCTCTTTTAAAATGGATTAAGGATTTCCTAGTAGGTCGTAGGCAGAAAGTAAGAATAAATTCCAAGTGCTCCATCTGGAGACCAGTACTTAATGGGGTACCTCAAGGTTCCGTCCCAGGTCCTTTACTTTTTATAATGTATGTTAATGATCTCCTATGTATAGTACAGTCTCCAATGTTATTATACGCTGACGGTGTAAAAATCTGGCCAGTAATAACAAAGACGCATGTGCTCTTCAGGCAAACTTAAATAAGATGATAAACTGGTCTAAATAGTGGCTGATGTCTATCAACGCGGAAAAGTGTGTCTCCGTGCGCTTTGGGGATTCAAGGGTTAATAGTTACAACATAAGGGATGTGCCATTACCTGTAGCCCAATTTCATAAGGGTCTAGGGGTGACAGTGAGTCATGATCTTAAGACGACGGCTCATTGCCGGGAGGTCGCCGCTAAGGGGTTTTGAACCCTCTGGGCTTTAGAACGGACATCCCCTAAGTTAGACACTACCATGTTCACCACACTATACACATCCTTAGTGAGGACTAAGCTTGAGAACTACGTTCAGGCTGCAAGCCCCCGTTTAAAAGGTGACCCGGATATCCTAGAAAAAGTACAGAGGGCAGCGACCCGTGCATTTCTAGAACGCCGGGATTTATCATACAAAGAGCGGACTGAAAAGCTAAACCTCTTTACTCTGTCCTATCGCAGACTAAGGGGGATTTAATTTTGATGTACAGGATACTGAGAATTGATTTTGAACCTAACTTGTTCTCTCTTTTTCTTCCAACTAGATCGAGGCATCTCAGACGACGCTGGCTACATCACCTATTTATGTTCGGCGTTCCCAAAAACATTCTGCATTGTCCCAGGAAGAACTCAAGCACTACGTTTCTTTTTTATATTACCCGAATATTTTAGAGAATAATACAGAAGATTAGTGTTTATACCCCCTTGTGTGTTTTCTCTGAGTCAGATGATCGGAGGTTACAACATGACCTCGTTTAGTGATAGTGTTGTGAACAAGAACACCAGTGGGGCCAATCGAATTTATTTTAATAAAACGTTATGGAATAACTTGATAAAACCTGGGAACCTTACAGTAAATACTCATCAATTGTCGCAGACTTAATTGTCCCTTCGTTTCCAGACCAATCACTTTCTGCTCTCGTCCTTATCTTTCTGATTTTCTCTACCTTTTGTCTCCAGACATTTCACTTTTGATTTATGATGCACACTATTTCCATCAGTCGACATCAGTAGCACACACAAAAATATGGCTGAACTAGTTGTTTATTTCGCAGTTAATTTATGGACAGTATTTACATCTGATAATTCTAATGTTCGATCATTCCCTTCTATAAACTTGGACTATACTGGTCAGCTGAAACGTTGAAATTAATTGGGTTCAAAATGCTGAGTACTTAAGAAATACCATTTATTTATGGTACTATCGATTACCTTGGCGCTCATTTGTTTTGGAACTAATCATTCAAATGGGAGTGAAGTTCTCATAAAGTTACAGAAAAAACCTTTTAAAATCCGGGTCTTGTTCGTCTTTAATAAAAGCATGAAACCCAAAAAATGAGCCGACTTTCAACTGAATTTTACTGTTAAAATTTTTTTCAGCACACCGATGTGAAAATGCTCTACTCCTAACTGATTGGTATTCAAATATTCTTGATCTTTCTTCATTATCCAGTAAGAATGTAACCATTCATTCTTATTAATTGACTAACATTTGATTTCACTACCCTATTACGTTATATATCACTCAGGTAGGGTTCTCACGGTCCTATCAACCTCTTTCAAAGTCTGGTATCTGTACATTTTTACTTAAACCCATCGAAATGCGATAGACATTCTTCACAGATATTACATTCCCAAAATTGTAACACTGTTCTATTTAAAAGTCTGTAATGAATCTGTGAATCGAGTTCAACACAAGGCAATAGAGCGCTACTGTGTTGGAAACGAACCACGTGTGAAAATTTTCGTATTTATCAATAGTTTCATATTTCACGCATCATGTGCCATTTAATATACCGAATTATAAATCTGTGTGTATCTGATCTTTCCTGTCTCCCATTTTGACTAAAAAATACTGCTACGTAGTTCTCCATGACTCATAATCCAACTGATATAGACCATATAGTACAACACCACTATTAGTAGACGAAACTGAATAAACTTTTCAAACTAGAATACCCGATGAAAACAACAAAGTTAAATCTCAAATAATCATAAGAAACCATCAGATTTGAAGATGCTACATGTATTTAGAGTTTGACAACGCTTTAACCAGTAACATCTAATGTGAATCGTATCCACCAAGTGAAATCAAAAGACAGAAGCGGGGAGGTTCCGAGATATATTTGATAGGCTATCAATATACCGTGGATCGACTGATCTAATCTGGCTAGCGATTGCAGGGGTTGCTGACCACGGCGTTCCCACTCGTGATCTAGTGCGGATGCATGATCGAGCACCTTCAGCTCGGTGAGTCTGTGGTGGCATTGGGCCCTAACACGAGACAATTGAGGAAATAGATATTCCATATTTAACGCGGAGAAAAACCCAACGATGGATAACGCTGGGACAATGAATTGGATTGACTGGAGTTGAATGAATGGCATGGCTCAGCCTTGCAGGCGTGGTCCTTGTTGAACGTTATCTTATATCTTTTATTCGTATTAAATATATTGTTCTGTCTCTAGCCTAAGCTTGTTCTACATCATGTATTGGTGATTGTTGCATTACGATGAGTCAGTGTAGACGATGGTATGACTTCTAAGTAAGGTCTTATAGATAAGGCAGGTACATCATGACAAGTCTACAATTTTAGAATAAGGTCTATTATTAGCGCAGTACTAATATAATAGTAGACCATAATTCAATATTGGTAAGCCCGACTGAAGAAATGCAACCTATTACTATTAATCCTTCTTTTCCCCTTAACTTTCTCGATCGACTTTTATTTATGTTAACCAGAATTCTAATGAATAAGAACATTCCTCTAAAGTTGAACAAATAGTTTCAAAATATTTGGGCGCCGAGTTAATTTGAAACATTAAAAAGAAGAATATATTTGTAAAATCTCAGCGAATGAATTTTAAGTAAATCCAACGTTTCGCCTGGCAATCTGGTCCAAGCCTTTTCAAGGAAAATATAATCAAACAACAAAATTATCGAATATAAATAGGTACATGGTTCTTCGGTTTACTGTATACTGAATAAGTCATCCAATCAACGTGAAGGATTTTTTATAAATAGGTATTTGCATTAATGTGTAAGGGACATGTTTATATGAAAATAATATGAAAAATAATAAAGGTCAACCAAATAAAAGTTCATTTGAAAATAATCAAGGGGAGAGAAAGAATAAGAAATTGTCGTGTTATCCTAGGCCATATAATGACTTGAGGATTACCAAAGTAAATTCAAGGTTACGACAAATTGTTTTTGTACACATAAGGACAAGGTATGTGTCATGGAACCAAAAACGTGTTAAGACAACAGAATGTGTTTATACGCAAGTGATGTGAGAAGAAATTTCATTCAACTAAATATTGACTTCGGTCTGTGTATATTAAGAAAACAGATCATTTTTAGATATGAAATGAATCAAAAATGCCACAGCCTGCATTCTATGAAGATAAATAAGATAAGTAAACAAAATAAAAGAGGAATGTATATGTAATTGAAGGTGTGTGTTATTTTTAATGTTCCAGTCAATTGTTTAACAGATTCAGATAAGATATCGGATTTGAATCATTGAACGTATTATCTCTCAATTAGTTACTATGGGATAGATATATCAAATTGCAAAAAGGAGATCATGTTTACTTATTAATTATTAGTTGCCATGGGGCAGCTAGTTGTATTCCATCTCTCCTATTAATATTGTTTGAATTAGCCCATATATGTAGGGCTTCGGCTGTTAGTCGTTCTCTGTAAGAATTGAATCCTTTTTGAATGATTCTCGTGCCATTGAAATCAACTGTATGACCCGATTCAATCGAGTGTGATGCTATCGCTGATCTGTTCTCAAGCTTTTTATAACATCAATTGAGGATTTAGGAATGTGCTTTAAGCACAGTTTGTGTTCCTTCACCCTCACATTCAGTTGCCTAGATGTTTCACCTACATATGTTTCATTACAGTCATTACATTTTATTTCATAAACACAATTCTGTTGATCATCCTTGTGTATTAGATCTTTGATTCTTACTAGATTTGATCTTAAAGTATTGTTTGTTCGAAAGAATACTCTTATATTTTGACGAGTTAAAATCCTTCTATATAGTGAAAATTCCCATTTCGCCATTTCGTAAATAAAGAAGGAACAAATTGAGCGAAGAAATTTCTTTTCAATTAGGTTTTCATCATGGCTCTACACTAATATATATATGTTTTACAATATTAATATAATACTCATCGAGTAGATACGTTACGTAATAATTACATTTAAATTAACATTGATTAATTGGAAGAAAGAGGATTATTAATATTCAAAGTGATCAAGAAGTTGCTACGCTGCGTAATGTAAGAAACAAAGAAGGAACAGAATTTTAACGGATGGTCAATAGAATGGTAGTTACGTAAGAATCAAGAGATGAATGTTGAGAAGTTATTAAGTTCAAAAGCAACAGAAATAAAATTACAAAAGTCAAAAATAAAAATAAAAAAACAAGTGGAAGAAGTATGAAAAACAGTTCTTTTGAAGGAAATCTTAAACTGATGGCCAGGGCAGGGAAAGTGGTTGTACGAATCTCTTTTGAAAGCAAAGGTCAGGTTTGTGAACATGGATTGCGATGGCTTCCGCAATGTGCAAGAGGCGCACTCGTAAACCATGTGGCGAATTAGATGGGATATTGTAGATAACCTTAAAAGCTTGACACATCGGGCTAGAATGATTTGCTCTGAAGACACCATCGAAGAAGAATTGAATAATGTTCGGAACCTACTTAGCATGAATGGGTATCCCATGAAATTCATCGACAAACATATGATGGAGAAGAAAACAAGGACAAAGATACCCACCGTCCATAAGAAGGTACTATTCATAAAACTACAATTCATAAATGACACTATTGAAGAAATCTTGACTCAGAAACTAAGAAGAGCCGTACAAAAAACATTTAATGCTGCCAGATTAAATGCAATCTTCTATAACTATCCCAAGATAAGAACAGCCAACAAAGACAGACTGCCTGAATACGCCAAATCTATGTGTATCTAACGTTTCAACTGCTCCTGTGGAGCCAGTTATATTGGGCGTACAATTCGGCAAGTCCGTCATCGCATTACTGAACATCATCCGACGTGGTTAAACAAAGGACAGGTAAAAGTGATTAAAAGTTTTATTCTCTCAAACTTGGTTGACAACAGGTCATCAAGTCGAATTGAATAAAGCTTTTAAGGTTATCTACAATATCCCATCTAATTCGCCACATGGTTTACGAGTGCGCCTCTTGCACATTGCGGAAGCCATCGCAATCCATGTTCACAAACCTGACCTTTGCTTTCAAAAGAGATTCGTACAACCACTTTCCCTGCCCTGGCCATCAGTTTAAGATTTCCTTCAAAAGAACTGTTTTTCATACTTCTTCCACTTGTTTTTTTATTTTTATTTTTGACTTTTGTAATTTTATTTCTGTTGCTTTTGAACTTAATAACTTCTCAACATTCATCTCTTGATTCTTACGTAACTACCATTCTATTGACCATCCGTTAAAATTCTGTTCCTTCTTTGTTTCTTACATTACGCAGCGTAGCAACTTCTTGATCACTTTGAATATTAATAATCCTCTTTCTTCCAATTAATCAATGTTAATTTAAATGTAATTATTACGTAACGTATCTACTCGATGAGTATTATATTAATATTGTAAAACATATATATATTAGTGTAGAGCCATGATGAAAACCTAATTGAAAAGAAATTTCTTCGCTCAATTTGTTCCTTCTTTATTTACGAAATGGCGAAATGGGAATTTTCACTATATAGAAGGATTTTAACTCGTCAAAATATAAGAGTATTCTTTCGAACAAACAATACTTTAAGATCAAATCTAGTAAGAATCAAAGATCTAATACACAAGGATGATCAACAGAATTGTGTTTATGAAATAAAATGTAATGACTGTAATGAAACATATGTAGGTGAAACATCTAGGCAACTGAATGTGAGGGTGAAGGAACACAAACTGTGCTTAAAGCACATTCCTAAATCCTCAATTGATGTTATAAAAAGCTTGAGAACAGATCAGCGATAGCATCACACTCGATTGAATCGGGTCATACAGTTGATTTCAATGGCACGAGAATCATTCAAAAAGGATTCAATTCTTACAGAGAACGACTAACAGCCGAAGCCCTACATATATGGGCTAATTCAAACAATATTAATAGGAGAGATGGAATACAACTAGCTGCCCCATGGCAACTAATAATTAATAAGTAAACATGATCTCCTTTTTGCAATTTGATATATCTATCCCATAGTAACTAATTGAGAGATAATACGTTCAATGATTCAAATCCGATATCTTATCTGAATCTGTTAAACAATTGACTGGAACATTAAAAATAACACACACCTTCAATTACATATACATTCCTCTTTTATTTTGTTTACTTATCTTATTTATCTTCATAGAATGCAGGCTGTGGCATTTTTGATTCATTTCATATCTAAAAATGATCTGTTTTCTTAATATACACAGACCGAAGTCAATATTTAGTTGAATGAAATTTCTTCTCACATCACTTGCGTATAAACACATTCTGTTGTCTTAACACGTTTTTGGTTCCATGACACATACCTTGTCCTTATGTGTACAAAAACAATTTGTCGTAACCTTGAATTTACTTTGGTAATCCTCAAGTCATTATATGGCCTAGGATAACACGACAATTTCTTATTCTTTCTCTCCCCTTGATTATTTTCAAATGAACTTTTATTTGGTTGACCTTTATTATTTTTCATATTATTTTCATATAAACATGTCCCTTACACATTAATGCAAATACCTATTTATAAAAAATCCTTCACGTTGATTGGATGACTTATTCAGTATACAGTAAACCGAAGAACCATGTACCTATTTATATTCGATAATTTTGTTGTTTGATTATATTTTCCTTGAAAAGGCTTGGACCAGATTGCCAGGCGAAACGTTGGATTTACTTAAAATTCATTCGCTGAGATTTTACAAATATATTCTTCTTTTTAATGTCTCAAAATTCTGTTGGTCCTCTGATTAATGCTCACATGTATTATCGTAATTTTATGCTAATTAGTATTCATAACATACTAACTCAATCGATACCAATAAATGGTCATTTATATTAATTAGCTTTGATGGTTCGTCAACAAGCTTTAATAGCATCTACATGCTTTAGTGGAATAAACTTGTTCAAATATCAATCTCAAGCAAATATTACATGTAAATAACCTAAATATACGTGGACTAGCAACGTAAGCAAGGAATAATAGGTTATTTTTGTTGAAAAAATAATGATTTTTTAGTCTTAGACTTCATTAGGTCCCACATCTTTCTTTAAAACAAGAGTTACGGCTACATTATGAAGTAACTCGCCCTCCGAGGCTGGACTACACAATCTAACTGATTTGTTAATAGAGACATACCGCTTAAAGGTTGACAAAGTTTAAAAATACCATAGGTACGATACTTCAACTAACAAAGTATCACATACCCCCAAGTTTATCACGCTGAATAACTTCCCACACGTGCTGATCACGTCAACAGTAGAAAACCTAAGGTTAACCGGGAGTCTAAACATGTGATTGATGCAGTCGAGTATCCGCAGTAACATTAAACTCCCAATCCTGTTCATGAGAACACATACTTGGTAACATAAACTTACCGAACTCTTATCTGAGAAAGACTCAAAGCATTGTGTAGATGGGAACTACTGAATGTTTTGAGGCCCAGGGCTCGGATCGTCTCGTCATTTTTCGCGAACTGTAGGTCGAAAGCAAGTGGTTTTGGCCTTGGTTTGCAAATCGTTTTATTTCAGCCCGGTTAAAATTATTCACATCATTAACTCTATCGTGGCTCCCTCTGAATATCAAAAATATTATGTCCCCTTTCCTTAAATTCCAAAACTTCAGGAGGTGATTTTTCGACAGTAAATGATTTCAAATCCACTTTGGGTGTAACACGGGCCAGTTAAGTGGTCTTCGGGTCTTCCATACAGATGATTGAAGAATACTCAGTGGGTTATCAAAGATAGGTCTAAACATAGACACTGACAAGCTGGGTGCAACTGCTGTCACAGAAACTGGGTTTTTAACAGCTTGAGTTGATTGGTTAAGAGTTGACCTCAAACAACTTAGCACATGCCAAAATGATAGAGATCAAGTATTCACTCTACTGTGAGGCAGTTGAGGCCCTGCTACACAGTTTCAACCATTGGTCATCAATTGGTCGATGTTTAAGCTTAGGAGACTTGAGTTCACCTACAGTAGATTGGAAAAACCCGAGGACCAAGTTTTCTGCAAATTTCTCCGAAAAGAAAGTAGTTGGTGCGGTTATCTATAGTACTCTGGTACAAGATATGAATCCTCCTGCCAGAACTCATATTGACCCAGGCCTTCATTATATGACAACCACTGCCAGAACTAACACAAGCCCAGCCTCCTGTCCTTTCCAAACTGAATTCCATAGAGTGACAAGTCGAAATTCTGTAGAAGGACGTGAATTTGTCATTAGAGATCTCACTAGCCGTTTAACAGTCATCAAGCCCTATTATTTCGTTCCACCCATCTCCAAATTTGGACATAATCTATCCCCTTATAAAGGAAAGGGACTCACTAGCATTTTGTCATACAGATGTGAGTGCTAAACACTTTTTATGTACACTATGGAAACTGTGTGAAATTTTCAGCATAATCAATCTTTAGCATCACTTTGAAAAATTTGAAAAAATTATTTCGAAGTACCATTGATTGAAAATTGAAGTTCCCATTTTGTTTAATTCTCACTCTTTATTAGTGCGCATTTTGTGGTATCACTCGTGTAGGCATGAGTTTCCAAAAAAAGGTAGTGGGGGACTGAATTTAAATTATCCATAATATTAGCCCATAATTATAGATGCACAAGGCCATCTTCTTGGTCGTTTGGCCTCTGTTGTGGCCAAAACATTGCTCAATGGTCAGAAAGTAGTCGTAGTACGGTGTGAAGGCATCAATATATCAGGATCGTTTTATCGAAACAAATGTAGGTCACCGCTGTTAAGTTTACTTCGTAGTAAAATATCTTGACTTCCTTAGGAAGCGGATGAACACCAACCCATCGAGAGGTCCATATCACTTCAGAGCACCCGCAAAAATATTCTGGCGTACTGTCCGTGGTATGCTTCCTCACAAGTTATACCGTGGGAAACAGGCTCTTGACAGACTCAAAGTTTTCGAAGGCATACCTCCTCCATACGACAAGAAGAAGCGCATGGTTGTTCCTTCAGCTTTACGAGCAATCCGGTTGAAGCCAGGACGAAAGGTTGGTTGTCTAATTGCATTTTACTTTTCCATAGTTTTCTGTATTATCTCGTTTGTCTGACGATGTCGGGTGGAAGTATAAGAATGTAATCGAAAAGATGGAGAATCGTCGGAAAGCCAAGGCAGCTGTCTGGTATAAAAGGAAAAAGCTTCTGAAGAAACCGAGCGAGGTTGTCAGAGGACGAGCTAAAGAAGCGATTGCACCATATCAAGCAATCCTTAAACAGTATGGTTACTCTTAGACTTGTATATTATGAGGCTTTATAAACACATCTTTTACGGATAATCACCGGCTTTTATTTTGTTAATGAAGATTAGTGCTGTTGTTTGTAGCTTAAAATTTAAACGGGTCCAAGATTAATCAGAATTATTTGGTTGTCACAAAAATAAGTTGTAATGAGCTGTTTTTGTTATCGACTAGGGAATAGTTAATCAATAGAATAGTTATCTTTTCATTTGGGTGGGTGACTAACTTTTCGTATGCTTCCATTATGGGTTTACTTCGTGGAATCTGTCGCAATGCAGGGTTTGTTTAAAACTCCCAGTCTTTTGGAATGAATAGGAGAGCATTAGTCTTGGCGACTCCTCTTGGATTGACGACTTAGTGAAACGCGTCTACTCAGAATCTGATGTTTATTGACTGCATGTCGGATACTTTACTCGTTTGCAAACCGAGGGTGGATGTCGCCTTTCACATGCTATACTTTTTCTGTAGCTTTAATCTATCCTTCATCAGGAGTTACCCCACTTGGACTATGTGGTTTATTATTCAAAATAGGGGTATTTCTTGTGTTTATAGTACCATGAGGTTGGAAACGTTCATTTAAGTTCGACAACATTGTATAGAAACTACTATTCCCGTTCTATTCCTGGCGTAGCAGCTGTAAAAAGGTGTTGGTAGCCGTTACTATATTCGACCATGAGGTCACTCAATTATGGAGTTACCTGTGATGCTTAATTCGCCTGAGTTTACTTAAGGCGTTCGTATGTCTTCGTATCAGGTACGTAAGTTTTTCTGTCAAAGCATCGTATTAGTCTACTTTGTTTATTGGTTATCGTCCTACAAGTTTTGTGCCGATACATTGTTATTAAAACCATTAATAATGCTGTTCTCACTCTTCACCCGTTGTGCATGCAATACAAGTTCCAAATGTATGCTTTATTAGCAGCTGAATAACGTAAAAAAGCATTAGCTTAATGGGAATTTTAGCAGCGAAGCGCATAAATCATTCCACCTAACTAATTTTTTCAGGATGGTCAGATGGTTGTAGAATCACAAAATTTCTTAATACGCGAAATTCGGTAATACAAATAGTTTTTAACTGTTCTTTAACAATAATGCAGCTGAACTGTGGCCGCCTTGAATACAAAGCTGCCGTTGTGCGGTTGTAAATGTTCTTTGGTGATTAGTACGGGACAGAACCAGCATGTGTGAAATTTTCAAGCCTTGCTACTGATATACAACCGGTAGATGCTTGTTCACTAACGTCTGAGAGACAGGGTTTGATGTATATATAATACACAGGGTCAAGTTGCCACACCCCGTTAACAGCGAGATAAAATTGTCAGAGTAATATGTCGTCGAAAAAGTATGGATTCGTGTAACAGAAAAAATTCAAGAGGCAATTTATAGACTGAGAAACTAAAGAAAGGTAAGGAGCTAATTTACCTGTACCAATGTGGGCGATTTTAAGCCATATCACCCGAAGTCTAATCATAGGTCACAATAATCACGCGCTCTCTACCCTCTCTGTGCTTCTTGGTTTGACTTCAAAGCTTTCTTCCAACCTACTACGCCAGCCATCATTGAGCTTCATGATGGTCGGTGGACCGGGACACGTAATTCTCATCATAGCTTCTCCAGTCAACAAAGTTCCACTTCATCAATCGATTAATCACCCTTACCTAGTACTCTGCGTATAACTCCATAATTACCAACTCTATGCTCTCAAACGCGCGAACATTTCGAAATCAACTGTTAGATTACTGAAAATCTATTAATATTCTCTATTCTCAAAGGGCATGTTTCACCAGCATAAAGTATAATGGAGCGAACCGCTGGGTAGTATAATATTCCTTTGGCACACTTATCTCGCAAGTGACAGAAGCCAGCTGGGGTTTATGACTCTGTGCTGATATTTCTTCAGACACCAACCCACTAGGGTTGATGAAACTTCCAACTAAAGTGGAGTAATCAACACATTTGTCTGCTCTGCACCGTGTGATCATCTTGGGGATGATACAGACTAGTCATGAAGCAACATTCTTCATTTGGAGTTAAATTAACATATCTCAAACATGCTATTGTTGTTACTTAAGGAAATCAGAAATTGCATTTTTTAGTGTCCTCACCGATAAGAACTGTATCATCTATGTCATCAGGAAAATCTCATGTTAGAAAGTTGACTTCCTCTGAAAGAATGCCTATGACATAGTTAAATAAAGGTCGGGAAAGCAGACAATACTGATCGGAACTTGAAGTTGTCAATTCCGATGACAGTTCGCTGACTTGACAAATAGTGTTCGAGCAGAACTTGTACAAGAGAAATGTACTTTTTTGTAGGTTTTTAAATAAAAAGCTTTCATAAGACCTTTCTATCTACAAAGAGGATCCACAAATACAGCTGTTGTTGGGAGTCATTGGGTGTGTATATGTTCAAGAATTTTACAAGACCTGATTAACTGGTCTATACATTGGTCCCTGTGTTTAAAACCAGCCAGTTTTCCTAAGTTCGCTCTTCATAAGCTCTAATAAAGTGTCGGATAATGATTGTGACTAATATTTTAGACACTGTAAGTCAAACTAATCCCTCTGTGGTCATCACGGTAGTTCTTTTGTTTCTCAACTTGAACGATTAGCTATCGAGACCAACCGGATCAGATTACGTCCAATTACCAGATACTAGCTAGTATCTCAGTGAATCCAACAGCTGAAACCAAACTACTATCTTTACATATCCTTCGGGTTAATCCATTAGGACTTGCTGTTCTCCTTCACAGTAAATAGTCTATGACATTCCATTTCATTAAAAGTCGGAGAGCTCATCTGGACATTCCGTTTAAGTTGTCTTGTAAAAGTAGGAAACTGAACATTAGCTGAAGGAAAGTTAGATTGTTCTTCAAAGTGCTATCCTAATTGTTTCAGTCTACTAGGTTGAGAGCGGATCATTGCGTCATCTGTCCCGGAAGGTCTCACTAACACTGGTTTTAACGCCCATTTCCTTGATAAGTTCAAGGAGTTTTTTGTAGTTACATATCACCCACGCCTTTCCTGCATCTTTTTCTTTCGCTGTCAATCACTACTCACGATCATTGTATAGACTTTTGTCAGTTTACTCCCAAGTTGCCTTCACTCCTCGTTCTCCGAGCTTCATGTGATGAGTTTTCTAGCATCCATTAGTTCGATAGACACTTAAGATCTGATTCTTCTTTACCTTTTGGTCATATTTACTCATACATACCACTAATATTTTCAAAATCGTCTGGATATCATACCAACCCATCTCAGGATAAACATCAATATGACGATTGATTAATGTTTCCTTTATTTGTTCCTGAAGGATATTCTTGCAGGTTTCGTTGTTGGGTTGAACTCTAAGAAGTTTTCTTGCTGTACAAATGTGTGCTCGTAATAGAGGATGACCAGAGTCTGAACATATGGCCTCTCCAACGATGGCCGATAACGATATGGTCTACGTGTTTCCATGGTTGACTAGGTTGTGGTCACCATGTTAGATGTCTCTTTATGCTTAAAGCTGATACTTGATCAGCATAAGCGGTTCGCTGGTCGTAGTTGCAATGGATGGTCGCCGTTGTATGTTCGTTGGGCTGGGACACTAAGACCTACTTATGGTGTAAATTGCCTATTAGGTCGTTAAATTCTCGTACTATGATTGCTAAGTCTAAGCGTTTGGCCTTTTGTAGGAGTGCAGGAAGCTTTCCGTAAAACTCGTCCTCTACTTGTTGAGCGGTAGTCTAATGGTGCGGGTGTTCAACACTCCTTTAGATCTCGTATTCGATCTCCGCCCCACCTACTTTGGTTCCGCAAATCGTGTATTAGTGTGGCTCATAACCAAGTAGCTGAGAAACGAGTTAAAAGTGAACATTCTTTACTTCATCCGAACTGCAGGCAGAGAAAACGAAGAGGCAACAGTGAGTGTTCCCACCTTTCCATATTGTTCTTAATCCGCCCTACTCAGTTGGACAGTTCAAAAGCGACTGTTGATTGGGATCCAGTATACCGCTGATGAACTTTGTTCTATATCTACCCCTGTCACTCTGCGAAAAGTGACATCAAAGTTTCTAGATACACAGAGGGTAAGTCGTGCCGGTTCTCTGTATCTACTAGGTGAGCGGTGGTAAGTTACCCCACTTAGGTACATACTCGTCGACGGTGCGTAATTCTAGAGACCTAGCTCAGGAAGTCTTGGCCTATTTGTCATAAAGTTTGAACATTAGCAGCCTCAACATGTAGTTTAGGGTGCGGTTTCAAGAGATAATAAATAAAATTTGGTGAACTCGAGTCGTGGTGATAAAGTAAGGGAAGAGTTAGTCATGGGTACGGGAGAAATATTAAGAGATGGCGAAGGGACTTGATCCCGATCTAAGTGATCTCGGGCGTTGCCAGAAGTATCATGGCGGTTCTCGTTCCCCGACTGCTCATATTGTGGAAGGACCTGAGAAGGAAACTAGATAAGCAATGGTCGTACCGATCTGGCATCTCCCACGGAGTCCAGGAAACGACTACTTGTGATTGATCAAACAGCATTTCTGTGGGAAGTTTTTAATATGTTAACTCCGTGCTTCAAGATGCCCTATCACCGCAGACCAACATCCGTAGGGTAAAGTGAGGTGTTACATTTTGAGGACCAACGTTTTCTAACCTCTTCCTTTCATTGTATGGGAGCGACATCGCAGCAGATGCTGGTTGTTTAATGGAGATACCTTACTACCATTACACTTCAGTACAGACAAAAGCATAACTTCCGTCCTTTCACCTCAAGTCGCTGCTTCTCAACTGACCTGTGTGAAGTGATAGGAATTGAAAGAACAGTTGTTTCAGCCAATATAGCTCGATTGCTAAGACAAACTACTTCGTAAAAGTAGCAACTACAGACGGAAAGATAGATAAAATAATTACTGTTTAGTTTTTTTCAATTTCATTAAACTTTCTTCCTAGCTAAATCAGAAAACATATGTAGTTTATACTTTAGATGAACTGCATATTTGTTATCTTCATTCTTGCCATCAAATTGAACAAAAGGGCAAATATTTTAAAATTTAATTATATAGTGTTCATTGTCAATTTTCATTAGTGGAGTGGTGTTAAGAATTTTGTGGCGTTGTATAAAACAGTGGCTCACTCGTTGGATATGTACATAATTAGTTTATTTACAAATCAAGTCACAAATTCTCTTTAAATTAACTCATCGATTACTTACAACATGGTCAAATGTTTCCATCAGCATATCCTACAGTGAATCCTCTCTGAAGAAAGTACATACTGAATAAGTAGATTAGTGTTGTGCACTCTTAATAGCCACACATAATGTCATAAAGACATTAATAAGAAATTCTGAACAACTATTCTCATAGGTCGAACTGACAGGTCTGTAAAAACGAATTTTCATGCCCATCCCGCATATTTTTGGTCCATCAAATGGTCACTCATATAAAATTAAAGTGGCTTACGTCTCGTAATTCACGTTATTTTGTGGCGATAAATATGTTGACATTACTGTTGGAGGACCAAACTGATTCACTTATCAGTGTACAAACTTAGTATGAATCCAATGACTAAGAAATGTTTAAGTGATACCTATAATAGTGATGTTTGTATTTCAATTCAGAGAGGATAGTAAATAATTGTAACATAAGGTAGAAACAAAGTAACACCTTGCTAGTGGATTAACTCCTTTTCATTGTGAAGAAACGATTACTCAATTATATATTTTATTGTGGATTATGCTCATTTGATTAACGTAAAGCTTAGTTTAAAAATTATCTATTGTACAGCTTGATAATAAATTCTTTGAAGAGAGATCCTTTGACTAAACTTCGTGTTTTTAATAATAATCTGGTTTATTCCAAATTGAGCATTGAGTAAATAGTTATTAATAACAATATATTTGTAATATCCCGGTGGGTAGAAAAATTAAATTTTTGAGTTTCCTGACGCTTCTTGATTCAATGTGTGCCACTTCTTCAGAGAATAAACGTAAAAAAATTTTGAAAATTTGGTTTTTCTACTCATTGGGATATTACAAATATATAAGCAATCTGTCTTATGTTTACTTTAGACACAAAATTTACTGATCTTGTAGCTGGACATTTTTCTGTTTTTAACTCTTAACGATTAATGTCATTTTGCGGTGTTGTTTACAATGATCCAGTTTTCTGACAATTCTTATATCAAAGAATTCTATGTCTTACACTATTTTACCTTATTGTTATAAGTAAACTTTACTTTAAAGATAATTGTTCATTAGTTTTTAATACATTCATTTTCATTAAATTACTATGTAACTAACTAGATAGTAACAAAAACAGCTATATCGTTTATGAAGATTTGACTAGTCAAATAAATGATGTATATATTCTGGCAATTAGTTTAAGGAGTGTGTAAATTGAGAATCTACTCAAATTTTTTCTAAGTAAACATTCATTTCGTTTTAAATACTCTCAAAAGTTTCACTTTGGGATCCAATGGCTTGTAACACTTCAAATAAGCACAACTAAACATTGTTACTGACAGGCGAGTAAAAATATTTCTATTATTTGATTATTTACAGTAAGTTTCCTCAACAATCCCCATCAATGAAGACCGTAATTAGTGTCGGCTTTTAATCCATTGAAGTCGTTCAGTTGCACTAATTCTTTGTTTTCCTTCAAAAAATTTTGAGTTTAAATGTCAATTCGTTTCTCGTTTTGATTTCTTATCTTTGAATTATTCATCCTATTTTTATTTATTTTCTGCTATCGGTAAAACCATTATTTCAGTTTCTCTCCTTTTTACTATCCGTACTATGATACGTTGTGGTGTGGTAACTTGGATGAATTTATATTTTACTGTTTGTTTTACGTCTTTTATAGCCTACAGACTAACTGATACTCTGTTATTAATGATTTCAAATTATAGGTAATAGTAAACAATAGCTACAACTCATAAGTAATGAAACTCGAACAACTTCATGTCCAGAAATTTGTTTCTGAAGTGTTGTAATCTACCATTTCGTTTTTAGCTCGTAAAAGTCCTGTTCACATCAAATGCTCATGGTACGTTATGCGTAAAAAACCTAAATCGTACTAAGAAACTGTCTCAAGATATAAATAATTGGAACGATAAATTATTTTATATTAAATGAACGAACAAAGTGGATTCATTATTGAGACACCGAGACGTCATATATGTAAGTTCAACGGTATGTCAAGGACAAGTACAAACAAGTAACTAAACTGCTCATAGATGTGAACCGAAAACGTCAGTTTAACAAGAGGTGAAATGGTTTATAGAAACGCTCTTTTTAAAATAGGCTCTACATAAAAATGTTTTCTGGCTATGACAAGATAAACATTCGCTTACATCACTAATCCTAATGTGTTTCGATATTTATCACAATAACTTCGATATATTCTTCATCTTTTTCTTCTCAATCTTAAGTATTTGTGGTAAACATACCCTTCATTTATTTCTTTTAACCCCGGCACTTGAAATATTGCCTTTCATTGCAGGGTCTCGTAACATACTGATAATTGTCCTATTGACTGATGGAATATTCTGATATTTAAATACTTCGTTTACTTATAATTCCATATAAAATTTTTATTCGGATCAGGGATTCTAGTTTATTTACTTTACATCAAACTTTTAGAAATTATTGTGTAAATATAAATAACTTTAGATGAAATATGTTAGTAATCTGATACAGATAATGTGATTAAAATGTAAAGTTGACTAGCCTAGATCACTGTGTAATCGATTAAAATCTCCCCAAGTTACGAAAGCACTGAAATAAAATCGCACAGTCTATGGTGTCAACCAGTCTGCGTCCATTCAATAGTCTATTCAAAGTTTTTTGAATTAGATTCATCTGAAAATATATATGATTTTCACACTCAATCATAGTTAAAGTGATACAACAGATATCAGGAGACCAAAGGAGGATGAAATAGACTAAAAACTTCATAACTTTCTAACACCACGTTCAATAACTTAGAGAGTATATACCTTGTGGTTTCATGATGCTAATTGTCTGTCTCATACTTTTGTAAACTCCAGAAAGCTTGGCCTGATGATCTACTGACTGACATTAGTGAGCATAACAAAAAATCACAAGTTCGCAAAATACGTTCTATTTTCGATATTATTGGTAAATAACTTGCAAATGGCTCATTGGAATTGTCCTTTAATATTTGATATTATAATTACCTGCCAACATGGAAACTTTTAAATATCAATAACCGGTCTACTTAAACGTATGAATAGTAGTGATGCTTTAGTGAACAAGAACACCAGTGGGGACACTCGCATGTATTTAACACAACATTACAGGACTTGTTAATAAAATCTAACAATCATAAGGTAAATGCCTCATTTGCAGAATGTCCACCAGTTGTCTCAAAATGACCCAGACTTCATTGTTCTTGCATTTTCATACAAATTGCATCCTGTTTCCATTCTTTACTGTTCGATCCTCTTGTCTCTCTGCTGCCAGACCTTATGTTCACGACTAACATCATATACTACTTATGTCAACATAAGTAGCACACACCACAATGCTGTAACATGTATTGTACATGAGTGAACGAATTGAGAATTTTTTCATGATCTCACTGCACATTTTTGTAACAAAGTCAAAATATTACTTTGATCTAAAGTTTTTTCTGGAATCTTGTAAACAAGTGTTAGGAGGTCCAGTTGAGTAAAATAAGTCTCAAAAGATGGACGAAACTGAGTGTTTTTCAGTTTGTGGCTCCATATGATCCTCTGGTTTTCACATGTCTCCGAATTACTTATGTAAAAACACGAGATAATAGTGTAGATAAAAGACCAGTTGTTGTTATTCACTATTTGAATATTTCTAACTATTACATTCTACTAGATTTGTTACATTCTATCTTTTGTATCTATTAATATCTGCGTTTAGTTGAACGTCATGCTGTAAATTTACTCAAATACATTGTAATGAGTACCTCGATTTTAGTCTATTTAAAATTTATTTTACGCAAGTTATTTTACAACGCGTCGGATACTCAAAACATTTTTGATACTCGAATTACATTAGCATAAAAATGCCTTATTTATTTTAGGTTGGTAATACTTAGCTTTCATCCATTAGGTATCTGATCATAACCCTGTTCCTGGAACTTCGTCTTGAACAAGCGGATAATACAACTCAACTTTCACTAACAGTATATCTTCAAGCCTTGTCATTTACATTTTTTTAAAGCAATTAGTCCTTTTTGTAAACTACATCGTACGATGTAAAATTGTTTCTCTCCCCTTTGTTACTTACTTGAATTTTCATTTGATTGACCTTTATCAATTTTCATATAAAATGCCCTGACAGGTATGTGTGACCAGATTGTTCGAAATGTATAGCGCAAATACATCACATTTTTCAGATCAACTCCGTTTTCTCATTGTTCTACCGAAACTTACATTTGTACTTGGTAAACCAGTTATTCTATGTGGTGATGATTATTATTATAAAGATATTCATCTCGACTTGACTATATACTTTAAAAGGAATTCGAGTGAACTAACCATTTTCTTGACTTCAAATTCGACCAAACGATTTTCTGCTACTTGTAAGTTCACCCATTCAAACAATGCTATTACAAAATTTTTTAAATAAAGCTATATGAAGTTGGTGATTCCCAATAAAAAGCAACTAAAGGTAATGGAAATAAGATTACCACAAACCTATAGAAAAATAGTAGAAAGTGACCATAGCCTAGCTTAAGTTTAGATTATGTGGAATAAAACGTGAAAAATATTACGTATAAATAAAGTCTGATGTTCTACCTGATTTACCCATCGACTTAGTAATGCCACATAACTTAAAACCAATGTACAATTAGACGTATTTTTTATATTATGTTCTCTGAGTTACGTGGTTTAATTGCAAAGATTTCATTGCTGTTCTTGATAAAATCAGCGTTCACTTTACGTACAATTAATATCAATGAAGGACATAATTAAATGAAAATCAAAATATTCCTTTCTTACAAAACCATTTCTACGTATTTGTGGATAGTTACATATATATCATGTACTAAGAATGTTGTTAGTCGTTTGGAGCACTTCCTCATTGCAACATATATTATGGGGGTGTTCACATCTTCCATGTGGTTCGTTGTGTAAACACTTCGGGTTCATAAATTAGAAATTCAGAAACGGTTCTTTGTGAGGTTTTCCTAACACACGGTTAATCAGTCCACAACCAGAGACAATAATTCGTCAGTTGTGGGTGCTAATGTTTGTTACTTTCTAAGCAGTTCTGTTTTTCCACATTCAATTGTTTTTCAGCCTAGATCTTTATTTTAAAAACCATGTCATGGGGCTACCATAGTTAACTGAAATAACTGTTGATTATAAGCATGTAATATGTTTGGAATGCAGAGAGATCACACGTCCTAAAGCTACCATCATGCAAAAAGTTAAAATGAAGTGCGTTGTTGGAGTAAGTAAATTATTAATCTAGATAAGGTCGCTATTTATATAAGTTTTTTTTCTGGATCAATAACATATATACCCATACGATGTGCACAGATTGTGTATTTTTGCCAGTTGACAGTTTTTATTCATTGTCTTTTCACTTAGATAGCCATTAGGGCAAATATCCAGGAAACTTATGAATATTGTGCATGAATCGAACATAAACAACCAATTAGTTAGCATCCGTATAATAAACCCATCATACAAGGTAGAAGAATTATGCTTTTGCCTATAAATCAAAAGGTTAATGCTGATCAACTGTTTTTAACTAGTCCCAGATCAATTACATAATTCTTTTTGGTAGGAATTTGTATACCTTGATTATTTTTAATATTCCTAGACGAAGTAAAAGAAAAAGATATAAAGCGAGTAACAGCGCGAATCACGAGGTAACAAAGTTTTGTTTAAAAAAAGTAGACAGTTTCAAACTCTATAATTACATTATTTTCCGTTAATAATGTAAACTACTTTCAACTTACATAATTTAGATTAATAGACAAATATTTCGGAAGTTCATGGTGTTATCTACTTGACTAATATGATTTTCTTATTTGTGATTCCCATTTAATATAAGAAACGTCAGAAAATCTAAATTTTCTACTCCTTGGGACATTACAAATATATTAACTTATTTACATTTAATACACCGTTTACATACTAATGCTTCACATTGTAGTTCATACTTCTATTATTATATTAGACATAAAAAATATTAATTAATTTGGTTCACCGAGTTTCACTTATTTTAGTGGAACGAAATGAGCACAGTATATTCAAATAACACTTAATATCTTCTTTGGAACGCTAATTTCTGCGTTACTAAATTTTGCTAGAGATTGTAATTACGTCACGCCCTGCTTTATGTAACATGTTGAAGCTATCCGGGATGAATAAAACAGATTTTAGTCAATGGAATGTTTGCATCCCGGTTTGTTTACCTAACTTTCATGGAATCCATTTTTATAATTCGTTACTTTCATCTTGAGCAAACAACAATATAGGCGATTAAGTCCCAGCCTTTAACTTACTACTAATAAAAATAATTTTTAAATCTATATTTAGGAGATAATAGACTACTTTGCTTAGCAGCTGCTGGTCAAATTATAAACCTGTATCTTATGTAATGCTATACATTTCTCAAATCTCCAAAACGAAACCCATCCTAAAGTATGTAACTTTACACTACATCAGCGTTTGAACTGCTGAAATAAATAAGGATACATATATAATGAAATGGTCAAATGAATACACTTTTGGAGTAATATGACGATATTATGTAGTAGATTCGGTCTTGCGATTCAGAACTAACGACTATGAAACTTTTCATTTAGGCAGTTCAAAAGCCCTAATTTTTTCAACTTTTGAAAATTTATGTTCTTGACCAAAACAAATACATTCGTATGCATAGAAATATCTTTCTGACCAAACTAAAGTATAATATATGATTCCTAATTTACAGATGCCAGATTGGAGCACATTTTTTATTCTACACATTTTCAGTCAGTCAGTCAGTCAGCTATAACGTAGGACAAGACACATATATACATCTGTCCAAGTTGCCACACATCATTAGCACAACAAGATGATCACCAAATTCATTGAAGTAGTTACTTCAATGATAGTAATATATTAAAGAAAGATTGTTTATGAGGATATAATACAGGAAGAAAGAATTAGTTCGTAGAAAGGAAGATATAAAGCAATTTTAATCTCACGGTTTAAGGGAAGATAGAGAGTGTATACACCGACGCCATTGTGATCGATTCTGAGCCATGTCACCCAGAGTCTCCAACCATTGATTACGACAGTTATGTGGACCCCAACCAAGTAGCCTGCATCTACCAACATGGATCAGATCAGAAGTTAGTGACTTCAAGCACTGATGCCGCATTTTGGCTGCCCCTAACATTCCTTCAGCCATCTCCAACACTAGTCAGCATTACGCGTTGTGGTAATCGGTGTTCATGTATATGTAACATGTGGCCCAACCATCTCATTCGATGAAGATTCACAACTTCATCAACTGATTTACTATCATTTCCTAATGCTCTTTATCTGTCTAACCTCACTAATAGTTACCCGGTGATCCCAACAAATGTGAGCAATATTCCTAAGACATTGAAATGCAGTGCATTCTTTAAAGAAATTTAAATTTTTTACTCCTTTTTAAGTATTCGCAATCGTAGACACAAAGAGGAAATAATAAATGAGGAAATTTGTGGGATAATAAATTCCATTTGATTCTATTCATAACTTCTGTTAAAGTCAATAAAAATAATTTTTGACTAGTATATTAAAAAAAACATTACATGGTATGAAAACATGTATTAGTTTGATAATATAGGTCTGGGTCAGTATACATTCTGAAATTTTGTGAATTTTGTGGATAAGGTCATTATAATCTTATATCGGTGTATCTTAGATTCATAAAAAACAAACTATGAACTTTCTAAATTCCTTTATTCAATCCAACATTTCAACAACCAAAGATGGTTCAATAGTCAAAATAATTTAACTGAGTAAATTGTTTTATAAATTAGGATTTTTTTAGAAATAATTCAATAGTGCTACTAGTTTTGATCATTTGTAAAATCTTTATTCATGTGACATATATAGAGAATATAGAATCTATGTATATTGCACTGATTGATATTTAAATTTTTACTGAAAAAAATCAAGAAAAACAGTGACGAAAACCTACTATTATATTTGTATCAATTTTACAATTCTTGATCCACTATATATCATCTATTTGTTTTTGTAACATAATTATGTATGATGATCATTGCCAAGTTACGACACTTATGGCGAAGGCGAGATATCCGTCTATCAATTAAGGGATGAGTATACTGCGCGGCAGTTCGTTCTGTTCTACTTTATAAATGAGAAACGTGGTCATTAAGAGAAGATACTCATGAGTTACTAGTATTTGATCACAGATGTAGGGCATTAGGAAATGATAGTAAATCAGTTGATGAAGTTGTGAATCTTCATCGAATGAGATGGTTGGGCCACATGTTACATATACATGAACACCGATTACTACAACGCGTAATGCTGACTAGTGTTGGAGATGGCTGAAGGAATGTTAGGGGCAGCCAAAATGTGGCATCAGTGCTTGAAGTCACTAACTTCTGATCTGATCCATGTTGGTAGATGCAGGCTACTTGGTTGGGGTCCACATAACTGTCGTAATCAATGGTTGGAGACTCTGGGTGACATGGCTCAGAATCGATCACAATGGCGTCGGTGTATACACTCTCTATCTTCCCTTAAACCGTGAGATTAAAATTGCTTTATATCTTCCTTTCTACGAACTAATTCTTTCTTCCTGTATTATATCCTCATAAACAATCTTTCTTTAATATATTACTATCATTGAAGTAACTACTTCAATGAATTTGGTGATCATCTTGTTGTGCTAATGATGTGTGGCAACTTGGACAGATGTATATATGTGTCTTGTCCTACGTTATAGCTGACTGACTGACTGACTGATCAATAATAAATTCATTAATTCTTTATGATCTTGAGTTATATTTCTCCTATTTTTGAAATGTATCTTACATTTTCTACTGCTTTATTTTAATAAACCTTCACAATTCATAACAACTTATGTATTCCATCTATCATTTCTTTAATAATGTAAAATCAAGCTTTAAATTAATGTATGGAAGCGTGTATTATTGACAATATACTATTCATGAACTAAATGAAATGATTAGTTAAGTGAATTTTAAAATGAACATGTAAACATATTGTTTTGATGTGTGATGCCCGAAATTTGATACTGATACTCGATCTACTAAACGCTAACCCCCCACCTGACTACATGAGCAAGAACACAATAGTGGATGAGATAGTATATTGGGCTACCGATCATAATGCCCAAATACTTGTTTTGTATATATAAAACTCTACCCTTTTAGAAAATCAATCCATTTCCTAATCAATGATATGCTATTGTCTTTCAAGTCATTTCAGATTGTCATCAAGTGACCTCATTCAGCTACTTCTCATCGGTTCACCATATCACTTAAGTTTACGGAGTTGATATCGAATCACAAAGTCGTTATAAATTAAATCGTTTATAATTTCAATTACAACTTGCAAACTAGTGATTAGGTAATTTTGTTCTCGCTGTTGTTAGGTAATTTAGTCATTTATATGATTTTAATTTTATGAAACTGGATATTAAAGCCCACCTTCCAAGGTCAATATCTCTCTTAACTTTTTCAATAAAGTTAGGTGATTTTTTTACTTCCTTAACATTAATTAGTACTACCTAGAGATAATGATGGGAGTCATAGTGAGCAGTCTGTTATTTTTATAATCAAAGGTATCAAGTGCATTGACGCTTGATCTTTACTCTAGGGTAAACTATAATTTATGATTCTAGTCTTTGTACTGTGTAACTGAATGTTGTGTTTCCAATACTTTGATTTAATCGCATACCATTATCCAATACTTACTCTAGTAAATTGTCTGTAGTTTTATTTATAAAAACCTTACAGAATGCCAACTTAAATATAATTTGTACTCATTAAATGGAATATATATGATTATTATTAATTCAATCAAAGTAGCTTTTAAATCAGTGATAACTTCAATGTAGATTATATAACCGAATTTTTTTGTAATTCATATTATATGTTATTCCTGTAAGATGTTATTCGTATAAAAAACTAATGTTGAATTTTATGCTCCCGAGATGTTTTAAAAACTTGACTTCCAGATGAAAACATTAGTCATCGTTGTGTAGAATGACCATGTTAAACCTTGATTTACTATCCTGTAGATTTCAAAACCTTTTAGATCGTAACTGGTTCAATTTGGAACTAAGACGGCTATAAAAGGTAAATCACACTAATTTTATAAACCTACTTTTATAACTAATGTAAAGCTGTTGAAACAACCTAGAACCAGTTTAAAAACATAACACTCTAGAATTAAGCATACTTAAGGACATTAGTTTACGAAAAGATATTAAGATCAAATTAATGGATGCTTATAATACTCTATATTTCACATAATGATTCATTTAGTTCTCTAATAATTTTGACAGGGATAGGAAAATGTTTTTGAATGATTGAACTCAGCAAAATATTTGACCATTTATCACAGCTTCTTAAAAAAATATGGATATTACACAACACATGAGATTTAACATGATTTGGTCTTTTTTCATTTAAAAAAGTATTGCAGGTATACTATAAGGGATACCTAAAATGAGAAAGTTAAGATAGTGATAGCAAGAGACACTGAAATTAAGAAATGCAAAAGATAAAACCACAGCAATAAGTACAATTCAGGAATACATAATGAATACATCATAGGAATAAAACAACATTACTAAACAGAAACTTCTTAGTATAGAAACTCAACGTATAATGAAGGTATTTTCAGTCTTAGTAAGTTGTAGTTATGTGTGTGTGACTATTCATTTGGATTTCTGGTGTTTCGATCGGAAGTTTGTGAACATGCTGATCAACTATGAGACGAACAAATTAACAGTATCGATGAATTTATCGTTAATGACGTTAGGAATAATGCAATATATTATTCTAATAGATTTCACAGGTATTCTGATACATCGACTCCATCATAGGATTTTAAAGAAAACGGAGTTATAAGAAAATGAATTTTTCAACCAAAGTTAGTTTGATGATAGCGCAATCTGATTGAAAGTAACTTATTCGAAGAACTCCCTTCTTCATACAAACAAAAATGAATGTTGACATTGCAAAAGTGGCTGAAATGTAAATCATAAAAGAGTAGTTACTTAGAGTGTCTATATCGCTATCCGAGCAATTGAGATATTAACTGAACAGTATATATTATTTTGTTGAAGTTTGACATTAAAAGACTAGATAAAAAGGCTTCCGTTTGTTTATTGAATACATCAAAGTAGAAATATATATTAACTAAGTTTTGGCCGAGAGGTTTGTCATTTGTAAATTGTAAGGCAACAGCCTAATTTTCTAATCAGTCTGTACTATTATGTTTATAGTCTTCTGTAAATATAGGCAATGTACATGAAATCAAATTACTTGTCTTAGGTTAGGGAAAATAATATCTTATTTTTTTCGGCTAGTTCTGTGGTGGTTCTCAAACAAAAAGAGCTTACACAAAATATATTGATACACTAGGTTAATAGTGATATACCAAAAAATTTAATTGTAAAGAAACCTAGGTGTCTGTCCGTTAGTAAAACCAAAGGTAACAAAATACCGTTAGCAATACAAAAGGTATATTAAACAAACAGACACTAACAGTTACTATAGAATGAATGTTACTTGTGAACTGCCTCGTGAGAACGACGACCACAAATTGAGTTCACTTGATTGACAGGTGTTCCTCTGCAAGTGACTGCACCAATGACGTAATGAGGAAGACGGAATCCAATAGTATTATACAATAGTAATCCGCGCCAAAAGTCCAACGTTGAGTCGGAAGGCCTATAATGACGTTATAATACTATTATAGTCTTCAATCAAAACGGTGGCCAATAAAACAGAAGAACAAACGGCGTAGATAGTGTTCTATATTTTAAACAGCGCGGTAGTAGAATCGTATATCACTCATCGAAACAATTATCATCGTCTTTTTAACAAGTGATACAGTAAAACAACAGATATTGAATAAAAATGTGGTTACAAATAAAGTGTGACAAATTAGAGAAAAAATGTGGTTTTTATTTTTGTTGTTACAAAAATCACTGAATATATGTCACCATAGTTCCAATTAAGTTATTGTAATATATTTTGAACTGAATGGTTTGATCGCACAGTTTGGATTATCTTTCCAATCACCATTTTCGACAAAAACACCACTTAGAAATGTGCTATTATAATTTCTGCATAAGTAGATAGCAGTACGTTTTTCTGAAATAAGATATTTGTGAGAAATTTCAGTTGTCTGCTTTTCAAAATTATTGTACTTGGTTTTTATCCTGATACTCCGTTTATCTTCTTTTGTCTTGGTGTTCCTCAAAACTATCTTGTATTAACTGTGATTCTTTTGGCTCGATAAGTTGCGTACTAGACATACTGAAAGTGAATCTGTCGGTAGTGTATAAATATTCTGTTTATATTAATTCGGCCATCAATAAGAAGTTGACTTAAAATAGGTTCGTCTAATTTTACTCTGTAAATTTTAAGTGACTATTATGTAGATTGTTTGATAAATATTTTCTGTTTTTACGTACAACTTTTTTTTAAAGATTGTTTTTTTTTCTATCCATTTGTATTGTGCTACGCTGTCTGAGGATTTGTTCTATTCTCTTAGTTTCTGTAAAACTTCGTTTTGCTCTTCTCAGCTGAGTATGGAAATGTCTTCGTCATTTGTAGGGTAATATTATTTTGTTGAGATCTATCTTTTTTTAAGTGATGACTCCAATTAAACAATTTTCAGCGATATTAGTATGAAATATGTCAAGGAAAATATCTGTCTTATAGTTCATGAACTATTGTCTATAACCTACCACGAAGCCTTAAAATGACTTATGATAGATGCAAGTGTGGTATTTAAATTTCAACTTTCGAAAAATCAAGATGAGAAAAATACTTCATATTAGTATGAAGTAAGTTAAAATGAAACCGCCAATTTCTCCACATTCAGTAATGTTTTTTTAAGTACTTGATATAAATAACTAATACATACTACCAAATTATATTAAACGTCTAATTTGGGAAATCCGTTCCTGATATTCATTAAAGCATAAAACACAATTTAAAAAGCAGTATTATCAACTACTGTGTAATATTCTCTAAAAAAACTACAATTTATGCAAACTGACGTGTCATAACTTTGTATTAATATTCCCCAATACGAATTTGTATGAATTTGGTACCACTAGTGACATTTGATGAATAAACTTTTCTGATTATCACTTTTCCTTATCACATGACCACTTTTATTTTTGTTGCATTCATTGTTTTGTTTTGTTTAACACCAATCTGAATAATCATTGATGAGGCAATTCAGCAAAGGAAAATTTCTTTTCGTCGATATCATTTACTCAAGCTGTAAAATCGTAATTATAGTTAATTTACAAATAAAATGATCTTTTAAAAGATAAGAGGAAGATTACATCATATCATGTGTCAAAAAAAGTTGCTTAATAATCGAAAAGTGAAGCGAGATAGTAGGATGAGATCGAATGTAAGAAGGATAATTGTCCATTTGACGAATATGAGAAGGGTAAAGAATAAATTAAAAACGTGGAGATGATATTTAAAATTAAAAAGATTGGAAACATTAGAAGGATGCAATAAAATCAAATAACCATTTACGAAAACTAAGTGTAAGGGCTACCAAAGAATGATGACTTGCACGTTTCTCTATTGCACACAGAGTTCAGATATAAAATAATGAATTACTAACGTCTTTTCAGTGCATAAGTTGACATTATGTGCTCTTTTCAAAGCAAATCGTCTGAGTGTTAAGATCATTTTAAAGGAATTCTCGGATGAGGCCATGTGACCAGAGTTCGATAGATGTTCTAATATTGAACTGTTGATTGATTTACATCCACCTTTTGAAGGACAAGCGAGATAACATTCAGAGAATCGTTTGGAAAGCGTTCTCTTTTGTAAGGTTTATGTAACTTGCTTCACAAGAGCAAGTGAACCTAGAAATGCACATCAGTATGACCCAATAAGATAGTTTGTCCTTAACACATCTATGAATGATGGCGCGGTGGGAAAGGACGATGCGGAACTTAGAGGCACAAGTGCTTGTATTTTTATACACCGATTAAAGAAAGAATAGAAACGTGGTCTAGGTAGGTTATATGATAGTAATATCCTGATTTTAATTCTTATGCTTTCTGAGGTCTAACAATTTATCACTGAAGAATATATTAGTAAGTTCTTTTTCTTATTTCCTATTATAATAGCAATTTAAAATGATCAACGAATATGAGTCTCATACTTCTAAATTAATATTAAATCAAAATAAGTTGGATAAACCAGTTCGACAGAAAAATTTCCTCATTACATTTATATTTCAAATGTCATGCCGCCTACATGAATGAAAAAGTAAATGATATTTATTTATTTTGATTAATAAACTATCAGCGTACTGCTCACTACGATTTTGTAATATTCAGTTTGCACACATTGCATAAGTTTGATTAGTTTAACCTAAATGGTCTTGTGATTCCAGATTATAATGAAACATTTTTTGGTATTTATATTGATAATCAGGTGATATCGCTCGATAGAAGGTATTCATCATATTTCTTACAATTTGGGATATTTTTATTTAACTAAGAAAACTACGAAATAGAAATACTATTAGATCATTGTTAAGATTTTCTTCAGTGAACTATCTCAACCATATATTGGTCTAGGTCAGTTACAACAATACAGAAGCCATCTAGCAATAACTGGATTCTAGTCATCGGTAAATCAGAGAAAAAGGACTTATAATAATTTTTTACAATAAAGTTTGTTTTACAATAAACTCAAGAAATAACCAATCATATTCGAGTTGGATTTGCTGCATATTTAAACATGACCTTAATAATGAACCGCTAACGACGAAATCTTAGCGAAGAAGGAACTACTTTACATCATCTTGTTTTTAAATCTTTGAACACAAAATCAAGGTGATTCAACTCTTGGTAAAAAAGGTCATTTTTGAGAAATAGTAATAATTCCTAGTAGTCACACTGTATGTTATTAGGTTTTCTGCTGTAACTAAATATCATGCTGACTTCAATTAGAGAAAGCATTCGTCTTTACACTACTATTATTTTACAGTATGATCAAACACCAAGCACAATACATATTTTGTAACTATGGCTATGAATTCACTTATTAGTAATTATTATTGCAGAGAACACATAAATGTTGCTAGGAAAATACATACACATATTATCATATGTATACGACAAAATAATGAGAAAACTGACATTGAAAGTAACCTGTATGTACAAACAAGCACGTCTCGAGAGAGAATGTATTAGAAAACAGGTTAATGTTTAGAAATGTTTTATTCGATTTAATGATGCGCTGAGGCTGACATTCAATTCTTGGAAATAATCGTTTGGAAGCCATGAATTTAGTCAGTCTGAAATAAAAGAAGGCTTTTACTGATGATAGGTGACCAATCAACAAGAATTGATTTAATGAGTCAAAAATATAATTTAACTAGTACAAAACAGCTTAATGAGAAAATTGTTGAAAAATGAAATGATCAACATATATTCGCTCTGCATGTATTCATACTTCTATACTTGGTAAGTGAATTTAACCTGTTACAATAAAATGATTTGGAAATGTGTGCAAATCGTTTATTTATGTAATCATGTGAGAAGATTCGTACTACTCCTCCTTCAAAGCACTAACTATCAACATAGTTCAAAATGAATTAGAGTTTATGGTGTGATTTTTTTACAACTAGGTAAATAAAGATCTTACTAAAATGGGTAATGCAGTAATAAAATTAGGATGAATCAAATTCCAGAATTTTAGTGAAGTAGATGTCTGGGCGTAATGAAATAAAAATGATAAGTTTACATGTAACCTAAACAAAAAGAGGGACAGAACGGTAAACTGGAATGTAAAAGAAATACAAAGGTGGGATCATGATAAGAATATGAATTGTACATATTGTTTCTGCATATATAAATTTGTCACTATGCTATGTTGCTAATGTTTCAGCACTGCTTTAGAGATGTGTGTGTTCAATTTTCTGTAAATGAAAAATGATCTTTTAAATAATTTCGAGTGATGAATCAGATGCTACATACATGCAGAATACATTTTTTATTTTTCCAAGTCATGTAGAGAGTCCATGTTTCTGATAATTTTTACAAATAAAGAGATTTTATAAATAAATGACAGTTTTAATAGTGAGAATATTGAACAGACAACAATATTCAGTAGGTAACCTCTCTCTGAAAATTGATATTTAGAACCTATCAATGACATGAATCTGCCTCACAAAACGTATAACTTAGTTAAACAAAGTCCAACCACTAAAAATAATAGATCTTAATAAGAAATTAATCAGAAAATTGGATAGCAATTAAAATTACATAATAGGAATGTTTGCATCAAGTTTTATTACTTTTGGTTCTCATGAAAACTTCAGAAAATTCCTTTAATTAATTCTGTTTATATTAATTTTACCTATTCAGCTTAAAATACATCTGCATGTACTAAATAAAACAATTTAGAAGCGTTGTAATTCAAATACAGATTATAGGTACAAAGCATTTCTAGGGTTTAGTTTAGAACCAATATATAAAGGTGTTGAATTCCTTTTAAATTAATAAAAGTGCTTCAAAGGAACTTTTATCGAGATTTAGGAGAATGGCTCCAGGAAAATCGGTATCTGGTTCAGAAGACATTCTATAGCTATTGTTAAGATTTTCACGACTGAAAGTTAATGGTTACAATATTTGTCCCGACAAACCAAGGTAATTCCAGTTATTAAAATTTATATATATCTTTGTTATAAATTTTCTCATGGAATTAAACCGTAATAATTGTATATTTATACGGATTATAGTCCAAAGTGAATTAAATACCGAAAGATTGCTTGATCCTCTTGTCGGTATTTAATATACACTTTAATAAATATCATGATAAACAATCTATTAATTCATTGATTATTAAGATAGGCAAAAGTAATAAAATGCATCCATACCAATCCTATTTCAATATTTCATATTCTGTTCAATTGTAATTTCCGCGAGATGACTCCGTCTAACGTTTGAACCTGAACCCACATACTGTGCGTTGATTTGGTTTAACGTGAGTCAATAACCGGGAAACGTGTTCATGTGCTCGACTAATAGCTGCACATCTTAGATATGTGGGAGAGGAGGGGACCGATAAAATGACCAGATTTCTCTGAATTCATTTATCTTAAGTTTATGCTTTATTTAACATTTATGTCTTTATTTCTTGAGATAACAGTCCAGTCCACAAAGATAGGTGTAAAAGCTAGATAGCTTATTGTAGTATATCCATCGCAGTAAAATGCTTCACATTTGAATTCGTTACAAATTTACAAGTTTCATAAAGGTTGTAATGATTGATGAGCAACATCAATCAAAACGTTCCAATGAATAAATCTGAGAGAGTTACTTTTAAATATGAGATCAAATGCTTAACAATATCGTATCTTGCCACTAAAATTTTTAGACAAACTACATTCCTCGAATAGTTTGACTGTTAATCAGAAGTTAGTTATCAAATTTCCGCGGGAAAATATGACATTTTGGCGATTGAAGAACTTGACTTCTAAATACTCAGAATCACTTCTTGAGTTTCGGCATCCTTACCATCTCTTAGATAAGATATATGTTGCAGAGCCAATTACACATGAATTTGGATTTGGCTAATGGTCTACATTAAAAATACGAGATAAAGATATCTATGCGTTACGTTTTTCTAAAAGGATAACCAAGGTTATATCGACAATTAATCATAAATATCGAAAGTTTGCAGCTATATCAATAAAATTATATTAATTCATTAAAAATGTTGTAACAATACTAAGTAAACGTAAATTTACCTTACTTCGAACAATGAATACTATGTAAACAAATCGAAATCTATTGTGTGGAATTTGTTGTGTTGTGCAGTAATAATAATCATAATGTTCATTATTGAATAATCATTTGTATTTTTAAACAAGAAGATATATATAAATATATCAGTCAATAAAGAAATGTCTCAAAAGTAATTCAACAATTCCGCAATAAATAAAAGATAGAAAAATAATAGAGAATAAATATTACCTATTATGCAAACAAAAAAATAGATGTAATTTCAACGTTTCAGCATAAAAAAATCATAAGGATTGAATGGATAAATAAAATAAATAATTACAATAAATAGGCTGTGTTATAACTATTTGTCTTTTTTCCCCATTAGAAATCCTCTGGAATTTCATCATTTGCCTCATTGATATAATTATTAGATCCAACAGTGATTACAACAGAATTTAAACATTCTCGTCGTTTATATGGTAACTTTAAGGTGAAAAGTTGGACAATTGATAATAAAACCATAAAAGCACATAAACCCATATGTGGTGCACTGAAATCCTAAACAAATCAAAAATGAAGTGAAAGGTCACTGGTAGTCCTTCGTATACAATAATAAACATACATTTTTCATGGAAATGTACAACTATATAAATATCGCTTTCAAATATCACTTATCTCAAATGTAATCCACTACAAACAATACAGATACGTATTGACTATATTGTTAATATGAAAATATCCATTATTCGGACATCGAATTTTCAAAATAAAAGGGCGAAAATTTACTTAAATGACTGTAACAAGCAGATAAAAAGTTTGAATAATCTAACCAGATTTACTACTGAAAAATAAGTTTACTATGAAAAATGTAATAATCCGTGTTAGTAATTTTTAGTTAATAGTGACAATGAAAAAAAATAGGACAAAATTTGTTTGTTATTTTACACTAAATAGGTAAATAATTAATTATACCTGCCTTGTTGAATTTCTAGTTATTATGTTTTCTTAATATGTACTAGATACCGTTATGATGCAAGATACTGGTTAAATAAACAGTAATTCATGGGGCCGATCGGAATAATGTAAGGGATTCTTAAGTGGTTAAATGTACACTGGCTTTTAGTAATTGCTTAATACTATGACACTAAAAATAGACTGCTTTATCACAAGCCATTATTATGGTGTATTAAAAAACTTAAAACTAATCCCTTACTGTGACAATGAGATTCCTAATCATATCCAGTTATTCTCTATTAGAGTATGGTGTATTATACTGTTGTTGGAACTTAGTGTTGCGTTATTTTGGTGAGATGCGTACTTGCTTCTTTGAGATGTGTGCAACATATTACGCATGAATGACGATAAACCTTACCTATAAGAAAGTTTTTGGAACGGGTTAATCTGAGAAATAAGTTTTGAAAAATGTTAAATATAGTTCTTAAGAACTTATACATTTATTATAAAACAATCAGTTTTATTGCAAATTGTTTACCCGGATATCTTCATTCGGACCACAAGTGCTGATAATTTTAGTTGAATTGTTAGCTAAAGGTGCAGTAAACTGTAAAACAGGCAACATTGCGAGGGAAATTATTTGGTTGGAGATGATAAGAAAGCTGGTTGTAATTGCTTCAGAAACTGGATAAGTCGCCTCTGCAGCTAGTTCTAAACACAGGGAAAACTGAGAGAAACCAAATGCTCCAAGCCAAATTAAACAAATGGTGATTAGTATTTGCTGATTAGGGAACCAAAATACAATACTTAGGCAGACAGAGCCCAAAACACTTAGTAAAAATGTGATCTGATAATAAAAGCAAATATAAAACGAGCACAATGTGATATAGCGATACCCAATTAAAAACGTACATCACTGTTACAATATTCTTCAATTTCGGAAGCATACATCTGAAGATAGTAAAGATCATGAATAACCCTGTGGTAATTTCTTACTGATTTTTAATAAACAGGTGAATGTATCTTTAGAGTAGACGAAACATATACTGATTGTGTTTTTACTTGAAGTACATCCCTTGAAAATTGACTATTGTTTCTCGTTATACAGTTTTCATATATATATATATATATTTACGAAACCGTTATTTTATTTCATATGCCATACTACCAGACGCATTAATATTTTTGTGTTGTGTCAAATGACAAACGAATAACGTTCTAATCAACGCTGGATAGCATATGAATAGATTGAAAAAACCCAGAGCAGATTGAGAAAAAAGAGTAATTAGTTAAAGTCACTGCTTATTTATTGGTGGGGCTTGTCTAGCTGGAATCAGGACAATAGCCTCAGTCAATAGTTGGACATCTCAGATGACATGATTCAATATCGATCCCTGTGACTCCGAACAATTCACTCTTTGTTTTCAATTAAATTTTGAGTCCTCACATTATTCTACACTTCTTATTCTTAAAATTAGTTCCTTTACAAGCCACATTTCTTATATACGATCACTGTTATTCTAAATCTATTGTCATTCATCTTATAATCTCTAATGAGCTATAATGATGTGTTGTGGGGACTTGGGTCGATACACACTGTGCCAGGTCCTACTCTCGTTATGGCTATTAGTATGACTATAAATATTGTTGAGCATTATGAAATTACTGTACATAATATCATGTGGTTTGATGTTTAACCGATTAGTAACAGGAAAACTAGGACTTAACACAAATATGCATCACTTTAGTTCTGCATAATTCGCATTAGCAAAGTACAAGAAAACCCAAACGTGGTGAAATAACAATGGCAACTGTATTGGAAAGATTGACATGTGAAATATAGTTAAAAATTAACGAATAAGATCAAGGGATATGAAGTACGGAATGATATTAAGTTCATGAACTTAAGAAAGATATAAATTAATCTAACCGGGTCAATGATAACAAATTCTTAGTTATAGCACCTAAAGTTTACAACTATGGATTAAGGTTAGTGTATTGGCATCAACTAGAATGTCTAGATCTCTTCACGCTGTTAAATAAGGTCGTATAGATCATCCGGATAAATACTGACTAAATATGTATGACAGATATTCTAACTACAACTGATACTAGGCACATTCAGTAGCCGTAAACCAACCAGGAACGAATCGTTGTATTGTATTCTCACTCCTTGACAGACAAATGAACATGCTCTTAACTCCAATTGTTGCACAGCTAATTAGTGATCAATTAATTTGAATTATGTCTGTATTGACACATCAGGGGTAAAACTATCCGGGTGGAGAGGAATCCCAGTAAAAGTGAGGTATCAAACCAACTTAAGTCCCCCATTAAGTATTAACACATATCAATGCTGAAGCAATATATTTCAATGTACGGTGACAGACTTACATTTAATCTATTATGCCGTTGTTAAGTACTTTTTCCTTTAATAAAGTTCAACACAAAAGTCGCAAAAATTTAACTGCGTTCTTTATATTAAATAGTAATGTAAGTACACTTATTTATATTAGGAAATTTTGTATGTAATTAGAGCTATACGGATTGATACGAAAATCGTAGGGTAGATTAAAAACGAGTAAGATCAATGTATTTCATAATCATTATAACTTCTGACCTTTAGAACATAATTTACTATAAATGGTTTCGTGATTCGATAAAGTAATTAAAAGTAATTAGATAATTTCTATCATTTATTAAAATTAAATCCAAAAATTTGATCTATTTAGTCCCATCCTTTAGTTGATTAAACAATTTAAACTAAGTCGATTTGTCCTCTGAAGTTACGGTTCTATTATATACACAGATTTGTACAAAACACATAATTATTGAATCACAAATTTATGAATTTCTAAAAGAAACACAGACCTTTAATGTTTCAATAAGGAATCCCGTTCTATCAACAAACAATGCAACAGGACCAGCTGCTACTAGGCCTGCAACTATTGTGATTGATCCACAAAACCCAGCAAACTGGTTGGAGTAACCTTTTGTACACAGAATTTGCTGTAGAAGAGCCGACAAGACAGTAAAATATCCGATACAGCTACTGAATGTAATTGTAACAATCCAAAATCCGTAGAGCTTAAGGGGTGGACCAAACGCTTTCAAAAAGTTGCATAAAGAATGAAGTGAAATAAAATGTCTGTTAGAGTTGACTCGACGATTAGCTATAGCCAAGGTCGCCACATATGAAGGAGGTGTGATTGGTTTACCTCTGCGGACTAAAAATATTGACAAGAAGAACTGAACAGCAACCAATCCCAAGGATATGTAATTGAAACTAACAATATCGGAAGAACTCTTGACATAATTAGGGGCAAACGCACTGCCCAGCAATATGCCTACTGAATTTCCAAGAGACGCAATAGTGTTTGCGGTGGTACGCTGATTGTCGGGAAACCAATCGCACGCAAGACTGGTTGTGCAGAACAGACAGAATGGTTGGGCAAAAGAAGCGATTACTTGTCCGAATACTATCAAAATGAGACGTCTAGAGGATGAAATATTTATATGTGGTGCACTACTCAAAACGCGCATGCACCCACACAATAAGTTACAAATAGCTGTACACAAAACAATGAAACGAACCCCAAGACGATCTATGGCATACGCTATTGGGAGACCAAGTACTATCGTAGTCAAAGGGTAAATTAGAGAAATGAGATTGAGAACCGTGTTACTAGTTGAGTAAAACTCGACAAAGTAGTTAGCAATAGGGGAATAAGATATCCACAAATAAGCATTTGTACAACTCAATGACGCAAATGTAAAGACAATTATCCATCTTGTTCGATACACGCGATAATCAGTCTCTTTCAAATGATTAAGGATGTCTTCTTTAAAATCCTCTTGATCATGACTCAAGACGGGCTGCCTAAACGTCATAACAAAAGATTGATATTCGTAGATTGTAGATGAGTCACTAATGTTCACTGGTCCCAAGTAGGAATCATATTCCACCAAAAGAAGCGAAACGTTGTCTGAAAAATAGAAAGAAGTGATATTTGGAATATGTATTAATCAATCATGCTGTTCGTCGGATTATTGATCATCAGGATAACTGACTCAATGATCAACAATACATGCCACATAAATCCTAAGTGGAATCAATGAAAGTGATCTCAGAAAAGATTCTAAGTGGTCTGAAGGTTGGTAGTACGGAGTTATCTTTCTACTCCGAAATGAACTTATAATGCTGGATAATACTAAAATGTCGACGTTTGGACAAAGCAAGAGAGTGAAAATCGGTACCAAGCCCTGAACTGCCTAGAGATTTCTATCATGTAGGTCATACCTTCACATATAACCTTCCAAGAATGCTGATCAGTAAACGCAATTATAAACAATGACATCGAAAGATTAAGTCTTGAATCCTAGACAATTTGTACACAGAAATAAGATAACAAGATGTGTTATGTTCAAATGCAGTGTAAATTCGAAAGACAAACACTCAAGGACTCAAGAAGTACATAGAACTTGGGTCTATTCCGACGAGTTGATATTGTTCCATCAGTCTGAAATAAATACTAAGCACAAGAACTGAAGAGAGAAAAAATAATAAACTGAAAACATACACATTCACAGTGGAAAAGAATTGTTAACAATAACAATGACAAAAAGCTGACAAAACGTGAACTGAGAAGTAATTTTAAAAGTTAGGTATTCTAACTCGGTCGGATGTCTAACATAAGCCTACGAGTAGATCAGCTGATATGAAAATTTATTATGATTCGCGTCCAACTTAAGGGTACGTTTTATACCTGTGAAACGTATGAGGAGAGATGAAAAACTAGAGAAATATAACAAACGTAACCTCATGATCCAATAAACACATCGTATGGACTTACAATTAGTAACGAATTGGAAAGACGTCAACTGACTATGTTGAATTTGCTTGATTAATTAGCCTTGAGAAACAATTTATATTGAAGTAGTAAAACACTGTAGAGATTTATGACATTGATATTTCTTTTAAATAGAACAGAGTTAACACTGTCTTTCAAATTAATCGTTTCTTACATTGAAATCATGTATTCTGTCAAGTGTGTTGAACCTTAAGTTATCAATGAAGAAATATCATGGTTGATACCATTATTAAGACAAAACATTTGCAATTTTTGGGTTCCTAGATGTTTGGTGGAGAGATAACTACCAGGCGTATTATTCTAGTATCTGGTCCTGATAGTAATTAAAGCCACTTTACTATTTTTAAACGCCACTTAGAACCTAATGGTGATCATTTTAGGTTCCACGTGGAATGTGAGAGTGAGGGAAGTATTAAAATTGTCAGATAATCATTAGACTCGTCGTACGTTTGCTTCCCATATTAGCGCGATGGAATACATCATGTTCGAGGTCGAACAGGGACCATACAACGGCAGGTATTGCATAACTCTTTAGTCACGTGGTTGATTGGTTCTGTCAACTAGACGAATTGATTTGGAATTCCCGTGTATATACTAATCGTTCGATTTAATACTTCCCCACCAAATATTTGCTCAGGACTGTCAATTACCAGAATTCTATTTGTGTGTATAGATGTACTGTGTTCTGTTCTTTATTTGCGACTAATAGTCCGTTATTATTTAAAGACTTTCTATTTCCCCGCTTATATTAGGCGATTCAAATACCTATTTTACTCTGTGACAATACAAGATCCGTTGCGAAGTACTTTCCTCATTTGGTGTGAACCCTAGGTTCATTTACAACTAATGGTGCCATTTTTTGCAGCACTTCTGTGGTGGTGTTATAGATACGATACCAGGAATTGCGTACAAAACCGGTGCACAACAATGTGACCAGTAACAGCTGTTGCTATAATTCTGTAATACCTATCTACATCTTTTTGCTGCCTGTTGTTCTGCGCATAGCATGCTCAAATGAGTTGTTCTGACCTTTGGATAAATCACTTTGTTTATTCTGTTAAAGAAGCTACTCACACATAATGGTCTCGTCACTCATTTGCCCATGACGTTGATTGTTCCCACACGAAAGTTTAGTTTTCCAGCACACTCTATTCGTCACATGACTTCTGCTCGTTTTTCTGTTTCATTATAGGTGTTGAGTCACAGTTAATGCAACGGAAACTGCTGTTTCTACTACTCCTGTTTACAAGTGTTCGTTTTGTCTCTCATTATTCGTCCAAACTAACGACTAAGCGAAATACATATTCAGTGGCACTATAATTTAAGGACGAACCACTCAGATATAAGATAACGTCTCGAATTGTTGGCGGGAATTTTGTTTGTCCACTCGGATAAATTATAGCTGATGTTAATACATGATGAAAACCCAAAATTCAATTCCTTACCTTAACCTTCGGCTGTAAATCATAATTTTAAGTCCCCACACTAGTTTATAAGCCTAATTAAGTCGTAGTTATTAGGCGGACACGCTCAAGGTCAGTCTAGAGTTGCCCAAAGGTCGTCCATAAATAATAGTCCTGTCACATACTACTTAAATACTTTCTTATTCGATTTCCCATTCCTACGATTTCATTAACGGGATATATCGACAGAATAAACAAGATATGTATCTCATTTGCATCAGTGTTATCATGTGAAGGCAGATCTCGAGCCAGAAAACGTGAATGTTTATTAATTAATACCTAGCCTTGATGGAATCACCACGCTCTCTGACCGGGATGATATCACACCCACGGAATATGTGTTCAATTAAATACATTGGCGGGTTTTTCGTCATTTCCTTATTTACATAGGCGCTGATGAATATGTTAAGTTATGGCCTATTTCGGTATTATTACTAACACAACTACAGACGTTACACCAAAACTGTAGACTTGTTACGATTTGAGTGCTTCATTTATAGTATCATTCGTGAAGATCTCAACACAGTCCACCCTAACTCATCTTATCATGATAATCAGCAAAATAATATTCAGCGATTCTGGCGAACACATTTCGGGCTGGGTAGAATGTAATATATTCAATGCATAGGCAAAATGTTGCGTGAGATGACCATGCCTTCATGTCCGAGACACGATATCTCGATCTCTTGTCCGTGCATTGGCATTCCACGTTCTCGTGACTGCAGGTCGTTTTGGAAGCTGTAACTCATGGTAGTGTAGACCCCTTAAAAGTGACAAGAGTGTGGAACGTTCTCGTCACTCCGAAGTATTTTGTTTGTGATCACATAAAACATGGATAAACCATACCCGCTATTTCCTATTGGTGAGTAGACATGGAAATCCTCGACTAGATGCTCATAATAAATCTACAAATTATCCAACTTTGAAGACATTTTGTCCTAACGCCTTTTCTTGTCACCACCCACGTATTCGGTCAGTCCCAAACCCTAAATGAATACGAGAAGCTGTTCACTGAACCACTCTAAATAGGTTGTATCTTGATTGATGAGATCCAGTAACCAATGTTAACCTATCAGATGTTTTTCAAACGCTTAAACTTCTCGACGTTCGTTAATTCTTACTCGTTTGTTTAGCAGAGAACTTCTTCGAAACGCTGACTGCCGATAAATTCTCATTACAGATTGTTAATACATGACGAATAACTTGATTGAATAAAACCTGAAATGAAGCAATTTGGAACCAACTCCAAATAAACACTGTGAAACCAGATAAACAGATATTGTCGTGAGGAATCGGGCAAAATAAAGTCTTCTGTCTCCTACTTCTTCAATTCAGAATACACCCGTTTTTCTCCGCAGGTGTCTTGAAGAGTAACACATTTTAACAATGGTGCAAACTTCAAAGAGAAGCTAACAGTCAAAATATTAAGCCGACACTTATGGAATGTCTCGTTTGTTTTAACATGTTTGAACAGACGGCAACAAACTGGCTTTCGACTATGTAAAATTTAAAGTGGTCTTTGTGTAATACGATACGAACTATTCATAAGACCTACATAATTCTTTACCTGAAATGTACTTGATGGCAAAAGACTTATGTGTCCTTATTCTGTATGACCTAAAATCAAATTTTTGAGTCAAATTTGAACTAGAAGTCAACTTGCCCGGTAAAAGTTTTCACCTTGATAGTTTTATTATGCATGCTCGAAATCTCATCATAATTGTTTTCCACCTTTCTGAAAGAACTAACATACTTTTAAATATATTCAGAAATAATTCGCCAATTTATTACTAAGACCTGGGTCCAGATCTTGCGAACAACACTTTCAAGTACAGGATATATAACTGCAGGGTATAAAAGACTTGAAAGCGACCTCAAAATAACCCCTCAACATCCTGAAAATGTTAGAGCATATATGAAACACACATTTAGGTAGCGTTTTGACACACACACGCATGCGAGAGGGTATAAAGAGAAAGTAAAAGTAAAACGTAAGAAGTAGAATCGTTGGCAGATATTCTACTCTTTTCAAGTAATCGAGTACCAGGACTTTATTTAGGGACACAAATAACCTTGACGAAGTCCTCCAAAAGGCGATTAAACTTTGAAAACACAGATTATCATCTCACCTTAATTTGCCAATGCAGTTTATTATTTTCTCACATTTCAACGACCTCTATCTCCATTAGAACAAACTTTTGGTATATTTAAAAGCTTGTTATATGGAGGTCCTGAAGATGCTACAAGTATTCAACGCTTTAACCAGTAACACTTACCAATATAATTCGTACCCACCAAGTGAAATCAAAAGACAGAAGCGAGGATGTTCGAAAATATATTTGACAGGCTACCAATATATCGTGGATCAACTGATCTAATCTGGCTAGCGATTGCAGGGGATTTTGAATACGGCGTTCCCACTCGTGATCTAGTGCGGATGCATGACCGAGTGCCTTAGGCTCGGTGAGTCGATTGAAACTGATGTGGTCAACATCCAATGTCGGAACCTCACAGAGCTATTTATTTTGGGGATTTATTTACCGCTACGGTCCATTTAATTCGGTTCACAGTTCACCCAATCGTCTGAACTCTCATATTTTTCCTATGACGTCACAAAATGAGGGGCAGAACAACAAATAAACGGAATTATTTTTCCAAAGTTTCATAAATGAAGAATGTCGATCACCTTTTACAGCATTTTTGGAAGAAGAAGTATTGTGTATACAAACATTTGTTTGTATTCACTGTCCCAGTCGGTTTTGACAATAGTGGCAATCTAAATGTGCAATGTGCCTTCCGTTGGTTATCTCAGTAATAGTTGATGTAGTAGTTTCATCTGCACTTAATATAAAAGAAGTTGATGTGGATGGAAATTATTATGTGCAGTGGGGAGATAACTTGGCCCTTACCTGTGCACAGGATACTCCGCCATTCGGAAAAGCTAGTATTGATTGGTTTCTCCCTTCACAACTAAACAGACCTGTTGGATATGGAAATAAAGCTCATGTTTACCGACAAGATCAGTTGGATTCTATGGTATTGGTTTTAGTTGTCCGATCTGTGATTACAGATGATTCCGGAGCGTATGTTTATTTCGCGTATTGTTTTTTCTAACACTTCGTTAAATCAACAGTAGTTTATAAACTAAACTAAAACCCTAATTTTTGTAAATAATGAAACGTTAGTAACTATGTAGCTTTTGGCTCTGAATATAATAGGAAGTGTTGGTACAATAACAATAATGATAGGATACGCATAGGAGCCTGAATGTATATTTTCTCACTGTAAGAGAACTCACTCTTCATCATTAAATCAGGTGTGCTATATTAATCACTGAAACCTATATCGGTGCGGGGACCTGACTTTTACTTGGAAATTTCAATGGATGATATTCGATTAGTGTGTATGATAGAGATCTGTATTTGGTCATTTGTTTCCGAACTTGTTCCAGGTTTTGAAAATTTATGAGAATATCCATCTCAATTATCGGTTATTAATATGAAAGAAAACACGCAAGTCGTTTATGGATACTTCAACAGTTACTTGAATTCCATGTTGCAAACGAGATATGATATGACTACTACATATTAGAATCGGAAAAAGCAATGAGAATAACCCACTAGACACATAAAACTTTGGGAGCTTCTTATCTATATTTTACTGTTAGTTTAAAGTCAGTGTTGGCATGGGCCTGCACATTATTCGTTCAAACAAGAGGTATGGGCACATTATTATTAATGTTGATTTGAAACAAGATTGTAGATCACTCACGTTGATGATCTATGCCGAATAATTGGGGTCGTACTCGAGTTAGACAGGAATAGTGTGATCATCAGTCAAGTACGAAGCCACACCTCGTAGTCAGCACTTAACATGGTTTACCCGTTCGTCGTATTAAGGTACTATTGCTGCCTTGAAGACCGTATAACACAAAGAACGTTATTACAAAATATATTAGTTAGAGTAGGTACAAGTAAAACTGTGACCACCACTTCATGGGCCAGTCCATGGAGTATGATTTACTGATGCGCGTTGGTTGTCTCCGACTTTGACGGGGATCGATAAACTGTTCGAAATTCAGTGACCCAACTTCCGGATGATTTGGTTAAGGCTCAGTGAAATTTTACCGACCCTATAAGATGTCTTAATCAGTGTTCATCTTCAGTCTTCGTCTGTGGGATTATTTATCCACTACTCATGAAGTTTTTAAAGCTTTTATTAAATACATATACGTACGTAAATTAACTGGGTTAAACTTATTTTTGTAAATACGAAGTTTTTATTTGACCTTATTAAGTAATTCCTCGTAACAGTGCAGAAAGTAACGGTAAAATATGGTTACTAAGCATGCTACAGTCTACTGGTTTCCACAAATACGATGACATAATTTTTCGTAAAGCGATTTGCAATCTATTTTGCTTGCAATCTCAACATTTTCTGTCTTAATCACGAGCAACATATCAAGCAACTTATTGAGAGGTTATAAACACTGCTTTTGCATAGGAACAATTGATTTTACCTGCTAAGTAACCGTATTTTAATCAACAGTTTAGATCAATTGGGGTTTGAATTATGTTAATTTGTTTCAAAAGTTTTCACCGAAGTGAAATTTAATTTTGAAACATAATTCCACTCAAGATCCAACTTAAAAGAGTTGATTTTGTAGTTTAATTCCTAAACCATGTACAAACTTACATTTGTATACTACAGATATGTTTATGACAACCAAGTTCCATGTTTACAATGACAGCGAATTCATTATATAGAACGATATATATATATATATATATATATATATATATATATATATATATATATAATTCGTGATAAGTTCATCTAACTTGTCTTGTAGAGTCTCGATGGTCTTGTGATTCATAGTTAGGTGTCTTGCAAAAAATAGTTCTACGCAGATTCACCCATTAAACAATATGTATAGTGTGAGGTTTGCAATCCTGGTGTTTGCATTAGATAGTAAAAACTGGTTTAGTGTGAGCACTGACAAAACATATGAACTGTTTTCAACTAAAATGTTTCTTTTGTATGTTATGTACTGGTGATGAAAGGCAATGGCTAGTTTCGTAGTAAATTCCTTTTTTATTATGCAACACGTCACAAAATAATGTTTACTAGTCTTGACAAATATTCTTTTGCTATCTTTCGGTGATCTACTATATGTTCCACAGTCATGATGCAATCTAGATTGAGGTCAAGCTGTCGGTTTTTATTATGCTTTGTTCGACAGGGTTAGACCGGTTTCATCTACCTAGTGCTTTAAGATAACTGATTACTGTTTATAATTCGTGATCAAAAATTTTATATTTATAACTTACTATCGAAGGTATGTTTGCCGTACAGGAAGACAGGAGGGAAATCAGTTTATTGAAATGGGTCGTAAAAGTGTCAATGTCATAGTAAGGAAGAGCATCGTGGCTACAGACTGTCCGAGAGATCAATGGATTCCTGTATTAGAAGAGAATACAAAGTGTTGGGGCAATGGTACAGACTGTGGGGGACCTACTGCTACAGTTCGATGCATAGTCGAGGCCTTTCCTGCACCTACAATTCACTGGCGTTTCAAAGGTGTTCAGCTAACTACAGGTACTAAATATATCATAACAACTTTTGGGATAACAATTATCAACCCAACAACTGAAGATTCTGGTATATATACGGTGATTGCCAGACAACCACAACAAACTGCTGTCTTCGATTTGCAAATTTCTGCATTCAGGTACTGTCAGATTTTGCTGGTAAAAGAATAAATGATCACTAAAATGAGTTCAATAACCCTTTTGTGTATGATTGTAGCAAAACAGACGTTTTTCATTTTTACTTCAAGTACTATCGTCCTTTCTAATCCAAAAGATTGAAAAACGGCTGTTTTCCTGTATCACTTCTTTGTGGAGTAAAATGGTTCACACATTAGCATTGTAAATAAAGAGAGCAAACAAATAGTGTATTATTCAAATAACTAATTCGAAACGAATAACTATTTACTAACTGTCATACTCGATTAATCACAATATACTTATAGGTCACCCAGTAATAACTAATACTCACTTGTTATGTAACAGGTTTGATGATCAGGTTTGCTTTCAGTAAATCAACATCCTCGTTTAATACATACCGTCTGAAGTGACTGGAAAGAGACTTGGGCTCTGAAAAATGGTAAATT